CCCCCCCCTTCTCCCCTTCTCTATCTCCACCAACCAACCGACCACCCAAACAGTGCTATCCTTTTAACTCTGACTCGCTCTCCCACTAGTCCCCCTAATCAACCATACACCCATTCCGCCCCTTTCTTTCCCCTCCCATTCCTTTCTTTCCCCTCCCATTCCTCCCTATCCCATCCCTTCCCTTCCCATCCCTCATCTCCCATCTCCCATCCCAACCCACTATTTCCCCTTCCCCGCCTCAGCCCTGATCATCAAAAAATAAATATCCAAGTATCCAAGTATCGAAGAAAATCTATCTATCAGCAAAATCAACAATAAAATAAACATCCCGATTTCAAGTTTTCTACCCCAGCCTCGAGAAGAAAAGAGAAAAAAAGAATTATAAAAAAAAAAGAATGAATAAAAAAGAATAGAAAAAAGAAATGGGTTATCATCTAAACGAAACTAAACTACAAAAATATCATCTCTCATCTTCATCCTATGGTATATCTTGAAACATAAACATATGCGATGCAATTCCATTCCATGTCCCTAACCCAGCATTTGCATTTGCATTTGCATATTTCCTTTCCATTTCATGTTTATCTTCGCACTACCGCTTAGCTCCTACATCCTACATCCTACTTTCCTACCTCCCCTACCTCCCCCACCTACCCTTAAAAATACATTGTGACTGTCAAGTCTGCCAGCTACACAAGAAAAGCCTCTAATTGTGTGACATGAAGAAGATAGTATGATGACTGGCCAAGAAATGCAACAAAAAAAATGCATAATGAACAGGAAACATTCATATTTGAAAGTGTTATGTCATTCACATTCAACCCCGTCACTCCATCACTCCATCCATCCATTCCAGCCATCCATCCATCGTCCATTCATTCATTCCATCCATATCCGTGCAAAAGACGTATATGCGGTTCATCTCAATTAGAGAAATTAGAGAAATTATCGAATATGGGTATATCACACATTAGCGGGCAAAGACTTTCACGACTCCATCACCGCCACCACTAACAATCCATCGTCCATCTTGACTCCATACGACTGAGCATACACCTTCTCCGCGCATCAGTCGATGACTTGTCATTTCTTGTGTACAACTGCGTGTGTCTAAAGACCAGAATCGTAAACTGGCGTCATGGCCAGCGGAGACTAATTCATGACCGTCAGGGGATAGCGAGAGAGCAGAAATGGCTGCTGGATGAGCAAGCATGTTATATGTGCATTGACCTAGATTGATCAGTTATAGGTTTTCAGCCTTCATGAAGAGTGACTTACCACTATTAGCATCATAGAATCTAATGAAGCGATCCTCATGTCCACTAATTATGACACCTTCTACACCACCACTTGTACCTGTCGCTCCGCCAACAACATTTTCATCTTCAGACATCCCGCGTTTAGAATCGGAGCTCAAAGAGCCATCAAGGCCAGTAGTAGTTGCAACAATGGCATTAACTCCAGTGGACTGTGTACCATTGTATGTCTCCAGACTTGCCATGGATGCAACCGCTTCACCAGTCCGTGTATCGTATACCAAAACAGCGGCATCAGAATAAGAAACGACAAATGATTCGCCTGAAGTAGCTAAAGGTGTTATACAGGTAGGAGATGCGTCGCTATTAGGTCTTGTTATCGAATGTATTAATGTATAATGGAAAGGCGAAGTAGATGCAACACTTGGTTGGGGAGATGATGGGAATGCTGAACCAGAGGACATCGAATTACCACGAACTCGGCCACCTCTTCGATTACTTCCACCCGAAGGTGATACAAGCTGTGGAGGTGCACTAATAGACCACACCTTAACGGTACCATCTGCAGCACCACTTGCTAAGATTATTCGATCTGGCCCGCCGAAAGCATTACTTTGACCAAAGATCGTTCCCGTCGTGCCAGGTAGTACACATACTGTCCATACTGCATCCGTATGGCCGTCGAGAGTTGCCTTTGGATCGACTCGCCCTCTCTCCCATACCCTTACAGTAGCGTCTTGGCCACCGGAAAATATCCATCCATCACCTTGCGCACGTCCGCCGCTGGCAAAGTTTTGCGAGGGAGACCAGGCAGTTAAGCACATGACAGCTCCAGCATGACCACGATGAGTAAAATAACTTTGAATATCCAAATCGTTAGGGCTGACATGAAATGATCCTTGATCTTCATAACGGGCGGGTATGATCCATCTTTTGATCGTTCCATCGTCACCTGATGTGCATAGTTCTGGTTCTCCAGGACTTCCACCTCCAGTAAATATTACAGAGCGAACTGCATCCAAGTGACCCCTAAGACCAAATCGAACTTTGAAGTTACCGCTATCCGGTCTTTGTGTTGGGTTCAGTGAGAGTTCATGTTCGCCACTTTTCCGTCGTGATATAGATGTTTTCCTTCGATGTGAGCCTGGACCACGAACTGGCGATTTTGGCGGATCTTGCGCAGGTGGGAATACATCTGTATCAGGCCGCTGAGACCCAATCTTATTTTCCTGTTCGGTAAAATTGGTTGGTTCATTAAAGTCCCATCCATCAACATCAGAAGAAGCTGACTTCTCTACTGTCTCTTCCGTTTCAATAGGTCGTCCATAAGAATCGTAAGAATGATTGACCTTTGTTACGGATTCTTCCGAAATCTGAGCCTTTTCAGGGGATCTAAACGTTGAAGACCATTCTTGCTGGGTAGGTTGAGGTAAAGGTTGTTGATCTGCCAGAAACCTTGGAGCTGGATTATCGGGGTTTTGAGCAGCAAGTTTATTCGGAGTTGGGACTGGTGGTGGATTATGGTTAGGTGTAGGAGAAGGTGCCGGAGGAGGTCGAGACAGTTCTGGTGTTCTCATAGCCTTAGACCTCGAGTATTGCTGTTGAAGTTCTTCGAGATTTTGCTGTTGAGATTGGGTGACTCCGTAGGGTAGAATCTCTTCCGGTGGTGGGGGGGATTCTCGAGGTGGCATAGGATTTGGTGGCGCGATTAAAAGATAAGTGAGTTCTCCTTGAGATTTGTCCATGAAATCCTTCATGCCAGATTTCTCCGACTGAGCGGCCTTTTTCGCATCATTATCCACTTCAACTTCAAGAAACGAGTTGTGTGTTGCTTTCCCAGCTGCAAAACCTATTAGTTTCCAGTAATCGTACGACTTCCAATCGACTTACGACGTGAATTCTTATCTTTGATCTCCTTCTTTCCTGATACCGGCGCAGTGACACCAGATTTGAGCGCTTTCAACTGTGCTTCTCGGTCCTTGGCCACTTTCTCCAACATCGTAAGGAATTTCTTTAAGCTCTCATTTGATCCTTCAAGCTTTCTAGTATGCCCCTCTAGTTTTGCTATCCTACTTTTCATTTCTTGTCTTTCGATCTCCCAAGCATTTCGATCTCTCTCGTGTCGATGCCATTCAGTTTGTAAGAATCGCATTACACCTAAATGCTAGTTAGTTTGCCCAGAAGAACACAACAACTGAGCGCATACCTTGCAGTGTATATTCTGTGCCTTGCGGTTGACTTGCTTGAATTCCTCCATCACCTACATTACCACCTCCATTATTTTGACCTCCTCCAACACCACCCCCCATGCCAGGTAGAGACTGCCAGGCCATCTCGTTCCCCAGGCCCAGGCCAGTCCCTCTTTTTATAACCTAAAACCCGCCTTGTGCGCTAATATCGCACCTGAATCCGAGGGCACGATGGGCATTTGTTAATCTTCGTAGGCGCAAGATATGTTGAGTGATCGCCAAAGACAACGAGGCCTTAATTTTTTCCAGTAAACTATCAATGCTCAATTGAACATACTCGCGCAAACTGGATTGATCAAGGTAAATGAAGTATAATAGAGGTCAGTAGCATCAAATTATAAATCTTTAAAAACTCTTATGATGCTTTTGTACAAGATTGTCGCGTGAGTGAAACGTGGGACATTAAAATCATGAAGCAACTTGAAGGAGGGCGTTTCTTCCCAAATAGAGCTACCCAACCAAGCCAACTATTCTACTAATAAACAATAACCCCAGTTGTCAGGCCGCTTTTAAGGCCACTATGAATGAATGCTTGGGGTATTTGTCGTTTTAAGGTATGGGTCATGCCGCCTTTAACTTGAAAGGGTCATTGGCATGGTCATACTAGGTGGCTCTTAGGCAAAGTTGTATATGTTATACTTGAAGTAGAGTGGTAGAGTGAAAGGCTTCATATGTTTTTTTGTTTCCTTCTTTCATCTATCAGAAATAAACTCTCTTACAAGAATACGTTATTTGAAGAATCGAGGTAGATAGGTAACGCTAGATGGAAAGGGAAGGAAAGGGGACAAGGATACCGGATGAGGATGAGGAGTTTGGAACTTAGGATGCAACTGGAGGAGAAGAGGTGAGGAGAGGAGAGGAGAGGAGAGGTGATTTTTTTCGATTTTTTAGAGGGTGTGATGGAGTTTTGGAGTTTGGGATATGTACAGTACCGGTAGGCTCATACCGAAGATTGTTATGCCAGCAATGCTAGCAATATAAATACATACAGTACAATATACCCATATAATACCGGTACTAATCAACAGAAGCCTTCAGAGATAAAGCGAGAACCAAAATAAATACTTCATTTCGAGCGCAGCGAGCTTGGCGGTTTGGTTTGAAGGCTTGGCTCTATGAAAGAATCATAAATGAGAGACATGTAGTGCATGCATTTCTCTCATGGAAGAATGATACTAGAGCCTTACATTCATAGATGACTTTCTCTAACTCCGGTTTTCTCGATATAGTATGTTAACCGCATAGATCCAAAGCCATACCCATACCCGAGCCCATACTCCTCATTTTCTTCTTCTCCCTAGAATTCCAACTCCTCAACCTCCATCCCACACTCTATACAACTCTTCACACTCATTCCATCCTCATTCTCTACCGTCTGACCCCATTCATGTTCATGTTTCCCATTACCAATTGTATCACCAAACTTGCCCCCTCTCCCAACACCCGCTACACCCCTTCGATACGCCTCGGCTCTCGTCTTCTTTTTTAACTCTTTTAGTTTACTATTAAACTTGTCCTCTTTTCTCTTCTTCTTTTCCGTTTCTCTCTTTTGAAACTCTGCATCCAATGCTTCTGCGCTTCCCCATTTCGTCTTGAACGCATATTCTTCCACTTGATAGCGCAAGAACAACATCATGTCATGCCAATGCGATTTATGCGGATTAGGCTTATTGAGATGTGGTATGAGATCCCCATCCTTCAACTCCGCTACACAGCATATTAGTCCAAGTCTATCCCATACATAACCTCTGAAGACTTACGATCCGTAATCAGGTAATCTTCTTTCGCCTCCGTCTTCGTCAACAAACTATACTTCTCCGGAAATTTCTCCTTACACCCATTGCAAACCCTACACTTAAAAACCTCATCCCACACAAAATCAATCTCTAAACTCCTACACTCCCTACACTTCATATCGCCTCTTCCTAACACACTTAACCCCGGCTCAAAAGGCCCCTCTTTCCTATTCCTCATCCCCTTCAGTACCTGATGTCTCTCCCACTCCTTCAACGTCATATGCGCAGGTTTATCCCCCTCTTTTGACGCATGTAATGCCTTATTCCACGGATCGTCCTCCGCCGTTAAGAATCCACCCTTAGTATCCGTCATCTTACTGAAATCATGATCAATATATTTCCGAAACTTTCGCGCAGCCTGCGGCAAAGTGTCATCTGACCGCGCATCTTTTGTAGATTGTCGCGCATCACGGGAAGTGGCGGGAATGGACGAGGTTGAGATGGAGGAGTGTGTGCGCTTTTGGCCAGCGACGGTTATGTCAGGGGTGGCGATAAAACCGGAAGGAGTGCGATTGGTATCGTTCGAAGAAGAGGCAAGCTCACGAGCTCTTGATTGTTCGCGGAGAGCTTTAGCCTTCAGTCGACTTTCTTCCTAATGGCAGGCATCAGTAAATGAGTGGTCGACTTATTTAGATTGTTGCCTGCAACTGACTATTTTTCTTTTAACTTCCGGTGTTGGTGGTGATATGACTTGAGATCTAGGATTCAAAGCTCGCGGGGGACTATCTGGCCTTTCCATAATGTCGGATCGTGCGAAGTGTGCTACAAATCAAATTATTGAAGTTTCGTGAATATAATAGCAAGGCTGAGGTTGAAGGTCGCGATAAGTTTGTAGCCTCGGTATTTTGGGTGCGCTAAGGCTGGAACAGTCATTCAACATACCTTCGAATACATGACATGAAAACCAGCTCAAGTTGTGGGGACTATGGGTAGGATTCAATACCGAAGTAATGACTGAAGGAAATGGTCAAAAAGTGGCCGTGGCATTAAAAAGGTCGTCTCCAGCTACTCGTCTATGATACAAACGAGACATAAAAATATCTTGTCCCATTTCCAGTTTATCACGCTGTTTGTCCCAGGACTCAAGCAGAATCCCCTAAACCCCCAGTCTCGTGGTCCCTCAGTCTTTGTAAAGCATTATTATCATGTACACATCTATTCGTCCTTAACACCTCCACGACCTGCCTTCTCAGCCGCCTCAATGGTCTTCTTGTCTTGAGTTGGAGAAGCTCCGCCTTGAAGACTACTCATCAAACCTGCTGGTGCCTTGAATGGTCTCTTCATATCTCCAGCGGCTGGTTGACCAAAAAGATGAATCTTGACCTCGTTGCCTTCGAAAGCGCCCTTAAGTGGGATAATAGATTGAATCATGAGAGGGTTGGTGTATTGGAAATACAAGTGCATAACGGCCATCATTCCAACACCCATTAATTGTGCCTTGTAAAGAGCCTTCATCTGATCGCTATCGTATTTGTGAACGGTGGTGGTGACAAGCTTTGGCTCTTCGGCGGAACCCATTTGAGGTTGCTCAACGTACTTGAGGGTAGTCATATCTGTGCAAAAAGCTATTAGAATGCCGATATCAGCGCGCATTAGGTGATGCCACATACCTTTCTTCTTATTGATCAAGTATTGGGTATAGGCGTAAACGCCCACGATGATGAGGTTTGATAGAATATAAATCCCACGAACAAGCATCAAAACGTTGGGATCCTCAAGAGGAACACGCTTGGAAACTTGCATCATCCCAAGGATGATGACCAAGTTGGTTCTATTTCAAACTCGTCAGTAACATTTACAAAGTAGGTTATTGGGGGAAGTCCCGATAATTTCATACATTTGAGGACTGAGAGCCATTTTGTGTGTTTGTGAGTAAGAGTGAAAGTCAGATGGGGAGGTTGATCGTAATTGAATGCGACCAGATATTGATTTGGAGAAGTGTGAAGTATTGATTTACATTAAAGGAAATAATTTGAAGTTGTACTTGGAGTAAAAGGAAAGAAAACAATCGTCGCGATTAGAAGCGGCGGCCCTATTATGCACCGTGCTTAAACAACCCTGGAAAACATAGCTGAGGACAGATTTGATTTTTATATATCCCGCGCTATCAATTCTCTGTTAATATCACGAACTACTCCGTACTCAATAAAAGTACTCAATATGTCATGTTTCAGTAATCTTAAACTACTAGGTACTTACCAAATAAGTGCATTATGGCATCTCACCACAACAATGATAACGCATGTAAGGAACCACTGAAAAAGTATATAATGACTATATCAATCCTACAATTCTTTCTCCTATCATAACGTATGACTCAAGTGAGTCTTTGGGCGAGAGAGAGCGTTAAGAGCTTCAATTGCAAGAGAGCTATTCCTTGTCTCCTCGCCATCCCAAACTTGCCCACATCGTCTGGAATCCCTTGGTTTCCTGAGCTTTTGCCATTCTCGATACCCTGTCTCGTCCATCTCCTCCTGCTCCTGTCGAGCAGCTTCTACCTTGAGCACTTTCATTAGGCGATGGGTCGAAGCCGAATATGGCAAAGGTTGGTACTGAAATTTGTCTTCCACTATGTTTGTTGTGACGGACTCTTTTTCCGGGCGAGAATATTCTGGCACCAACGTGGGTATGTCTACAAGTCCTGCTCGGGTTGATACTTCCGACTTCTTGCTTCTTGTGTCTTTGTCAATTTGCGATATCTCCCAAGAAGACATATTGTTAGATCTGGCACTACCGCGGACTGCTTTATCGCTTTGCTTATGAATGTCGCCGCTGTGGGTATCTTGCTGGGAGCTCGAATAGTTAAAAATCGCGTCTGATGTGGTCAAAGCCATACCTATCTCGTGGTTCGGGTGGGCAGGTGTGTACGATTGATGAGGATCATAGTTCGTATCATACACCGAAGACAGAGCTATTCCGATACCCAACTCGTCATTTGCCGCCTCAACTTTCGATTCGTTGGTAGGGAATGGGGATGGAGAAGGATCGAGAAGTTTGGGGCCAGTGTGTTTTGTAAGTGGAACTGGATTCGGTGCGAATAGATGATTCTCGAGGCCTGATGTCTGAGAGGTCTTATTGAATGCATTGGATGCTTTGGGATCCTTCCTGGTGTCACTTTCAGAAAATATCAGTGTTTTGCTTTTTTGGCCTCGAAATTCATCTCCTTTCGAGGCACAATGGGGGACACATGTCGTTGGGACCTCTACATTACCTCGATGACACTGGATGTTTGCTCCGAACATCACTAGTATTTGAAGACCAAAGTCTTCTTACAGAACATCGCATCTCACGTACTCTATCACGAGGAAGCATCAAAACCCTCAAATCCTTGACACGGGGACGATATCGTAGACACCTTCGCCATAATGGAGGCATGTCAGCCCTTTCGTGAAGAGTCCCGCAGGAAACACGTTTAGGGTTAATGATATTGAACTTTTGCGAATTGTGCATATTACTTAAAAGGTTTCTGTACTCTTGTGCTATTTGAGGATCATGGGCAAGGGAAACGATCCTTATGAATGTATTGCCCAATTATGAGTCGTATTTTGAGTAAATTTCTGTGACTTTGTTGATCAGTCATGACTCGGTGATCTTGGAGTGTCTTGTTTATTGCTGTAAAGTTACAGTCACATTCTTTAATTTTTATATTGAGAGAATGGTTTGTCCTTGAGATATTTGTGCTATGACTAATTGTACTCGAGAGCACTTTGCAATTTCTTTGCTCCCGTTAAATTCTACTCTTCGCTGAACACTTTGTTTCCTTCAAGCTCAACTCTCAGTAACTTGAGAAGAGATGCCGGATTTAATTCCAGGATTCAAGAACACTGTCTTGCTTTTCGATGTGCAACTTCATTTTCATTTTGATTAATGGCGTTTTTTTTGCTGTGTCCTTTTGCTGGTTACGATCTTATACCAAGCACAAAAGCCTTTCTTTCTTTCCTTCCTTCCTTCTTTCCCCCGCTAGCTCCGCATACACTGCACCCCCACCACGACAAGTGAATCCTATCCATTAGCCTTGCTTTCCACATTCATGCATTGATTCATTCAGGCGATCAATTATTCTCCATTCACTCACCCAACCTACCAGAACCTCTCGTTATATATCTCAATGAGTATCTTATCTAATCTATTTCCTGTACATTAGATGCTGAGCTAAATTCACAAACAGTTATCGCTACATAAACCTCTCACAAGCCAATTGGCCAGCTTAGCGAGTAGACGCTAGATTAGCGGCCGTATATCTTTCTCAGACGTGCAACAAAACAAGTGAAATGTCTAGTGATAGTCGTCCGAAGTTGTCTGGATATTCACTAGTCGAGAAATCTCAGTTGCATTTACCTGTGCTTTCATCTACTGGGCTTGGCAAAGTCTTTGGATGGGATGAGATGATTGAGATGGGATGATAATAGTTCTTATCATATATGCTGTATAATAATATTCAGACTTGAGAAATTCAAGAATACTCATCGAGTGGTTTGAGTTTATCATTGTAAATATAGAAAACAACGGCCAGTGAGCCACCGGTCATTTATTCCTTCTTAACCACTTCCAATAACTTCCGTCCTTCCCATGGCCCATTCACCACACCCCGTGCTCCCCAAAACTTCACCAACACCAGTTCTACGCTCTCGATTAAATCCTTGAACTGCGTCTCTGTCCTTTCCAATGCCGAAAATCCACCCATCATCATCCAATCCGCACACGCGCTCTCGAGTGACACATTCTCTTCTGGCATCAAATTCTCATTAATCAATATCATACTATCTTTCCCCATCGCATCTCTAATCCGTTCAAGAATAACAGAAACTTGCTTATCAGGCCAATCATGTAATACATTGGCGAGAAAATAGGCTTTGCGTTGTGTATGGGTTGTGGTTTGAAGAAGTCATGTGTTTGAGCTTCAATGTCCTGAGGTAAGGAATTAGGTGCGATACCAGAACCACCACCGGAATATCTTGGACGATGAGTTTCCTTGGATTTCTGGATGTGTTTCCTTGAAACGGATCAAATCATGGCCAATACCTCCTCCAATATCAACAATAACGGCATTCGCAGGTGAATCTACAACGAGTTTTTCCGCAACGGGAAAATATTCGTGCCATGCTGTACGACCAATACTTCGTGGAATGGTCATGACGGTATTAAAAGCATGTTGGAGACGAGGTTGAGTAGCGATCCAGTCGAAACCGTGGAGATCAGTTAGTCGGGCAAATTGAAAGCGCCCATCGTAAGCATCGTTGGGATTCTTGTAACTGGTTTTGGCGAAGTAGGTCGGGAGAGGGGCTAGAACTTCGTTTTGGTTTGTGCTATGTCATTGTTAGATTTATAGAGAGTGGGTAGATTGGGAACAAGGGAGCATACATGTGGATTATAGATTGGCCATATGGAGATGATGTGACGAGAGCGCTTGCTAAGGATGTTGGTTTGTAGGTTTCTCGGGCCGTTTCGATGAAGAATCCCATTCCCACTAGAAGTCTCATGATTCGAACTTAATCGATAGTCAGCTTTCTGAAAATACGCTTCATTTGTAAGCTGGAAATTACCAACTAACGGCGTATCAGCATTTTTCGGAGCAGCAAAGTCTTCGGCTCGAATTTCTTTTCCGGCCGTGGAAAAAGTAGCTGCTCTATCGAAAATTTCCATATCAGCTGCAAGGTTGAGTGCTACTGGGTAAAGTGACTATAGATACATCATAAATACTCGAGAACTGAAACAAAACACCTACAGAGAATATCATCTTCATCAATATATCCCGAGGACCTTCCAGGTTTGCTTGTAGTTTCCCACACGCACTAAGAAGTTTTCCTCGATCTTCATCGCTCATCTCACTACCCTCTCTAGTGCAATATTTATTGATTGGATAAGTTCGGAGACGCTCATCATGAAGACTCTTTCACTCGAAGTGCTATCGTTGGTGACGCGTGACACTAGATCAAGGAGAGTATTGTGGGTGGGATTGTTAACGGATTATGATTGTAAGAAGCAGAGTTGTAATGAATTACGATAGACGGAAGTATTATGATGAGCGTATGAAAAGTTCTATAGAAGAGAAGATATACTTCCTTTATGTCTGCACACGTGACTATGAGACCGCCGCGCCCGCCTCCGCCTGTCTGAATGTCCGCTAGAAGCGGACATTCCTAAGGACAACATGACGAGGTGTATTCTTCATTGACGAGAGCTGATACAGATCAATGGTCGGAAACTAGAAGCGCAACCGCTTTCCCGGGAGCGGTGTTCGCGGCATCTCAAATCAAGAGACGTTCCTTCCGGCTGACACTTCGTTTGGAACCACTTTGGAAGTGGGAATGTCACGTTTTTTTTGGCAGTGGCTTTGTGCTAGTCATTATTTAGTACTAGCGCGTTTTTCTGCCTTTAGCTTTTATGTCAGTCGATCGAGACTCTCATCTTGACTCAACGCATTCGCTTCCTCGACATTGAACGAAAGCTTCAATAACTTTGATCGATGCATTGCTCTTCTTTCTGACCTTTATCCTTAATTCTTGACAGGAGTTCCTGACTGCGTCAATTGACTAATTCTTGACGGCACTTGCGCTTGTGGAGAGAGAAAAGTAAAGGGTTATATTTCAAGTTTCTCTACGCAGTTTAATTCAAACCTGCATCGGCCGCACATTGATAGCAAACCTCTAAACCAAACGATCGCACCCCTTATGTCAAAAACTCATGGAATTTTGGTTTCGATGTTTTGAGGTCGAGTCTGACCTGAAGAGGCTAGACATTACTGTTAAGTTGTGTCAATCGGGCTCACCGAACATATCACTCCACCTCAACGGCACCGGTTACCGCATCAATGTGCACTGCAAGGCAGACTCAATTACCACATATTCCCAAAAGAGGTTTCGAAGTGGAAAACTAACCAGATTTCGTTGCCATCCAACCAGAAATTGAAGTATTACTTCGCGGGATGCTTGCAGACAAGATATACCAGGAATTGTGAGCCGTCACAACTGCTTGCAGCTTTCCAATATCATCAATATAGCAACTATTTTAGAATTCGGTCTCGCGACAACTATATACTCTGTCGACAATCCGCAATCTGGCCATGAAAATTCTAGGTATCTGAAAAAGATAGCTTTATTTTCTCCTTTACATTATTAATCGCTCTTGAGTGTTAGAGAACGGTTTAGATTGATATTTGCACGATGTTCTGGAATTTTGAATATACTGTTTAATCCTATAATATCTGTATGTTGGCGGAGTTATGGAATTGCCCACGATACGATGCAGCCGGCTCCAATACCTCTGTTATCAAATTAAGGATAATTAACACATGTTCAATCGATATTATTGTTACGTTGTCTGCAGATTGCTCCTATCGGACCTGGAGTGGTGAGTTTTCGCCAGCATATGCAAAAAGCAAACATCATAACGGGTAGTAGCATTTCACGGTGCCGTTGGTTATACAACACGCCATTTTCATTCACACATGGAGTGCTCAGTACTACCCTCGCTGACTGACAGAATATCTTCCTCATAAATGAGTCCCTTACCAACATTTGGTTCCGTCCATGTTAGTTCAGATTCTAGCCACCATTATCTTTGCACCCTCCACATCGAACCTACGGACAAGGCTATCCAGAAATCCTCTTTCCAGACCATCAAAAGTTATTCAATTCCGTATTCCGGTCTGATATGAACACCTGATTGATTTTGAGGTCCAGTTTCTCAATGTTAAGGTATTTATATTAAGAAGTTCCTATCATTGATCATTTATCGGTTGAACTCGATCAAAATGTCTTCAACTCTTATGGGAAGTTGTATATTGGGTGGTAAATGGTATGTTGAATCTCTTCCATAGAGTTTGGAGTGTCGCTAAGTCATTGTACTTTTAGGTATACATGTGAGGATCAATCGCCAACATTCTTAGGATGTTGCTTAAGCGATCCATGCAATGGCATTGGTTGCCCTGCGGAGAATCTTAGACCTGCAGCAATGGGAACAGCAAGTGGTCCGGATGCTCCTAGCGCCGATGGATCATATTGGCCGAATGTTAGTTGCCCAAATGGAGGAGTTTGGTTCACATGCTCCGAACAGACAAATTCCTTTCAAGGTTGCTGTGACAATAGCACTGGCTTTAATCCGTGTCATGGAACTGGTTGTCCTACAGAAAGCCTATATGCTGCGGCATTTAGTACTGTTCCAGCGAAGATCTTCTCTGCTACTTCTTCTACGGCCTTTGCCGCTTCCTCTACGATATCTATTTCCTCTACGATCTCCGTCACTTCCTCTGTGCCTTCATCATCTTCGATATCAAATTCTCCCAATGGCACCAGTTCCACTTCACAAACTGCATCATCTCAAACATCGGCTACAGCGAATGATACATCAGATTCAATTGGATTCAATTCATATCAGAAACTCCCCATTGCTGCTATTGTAGGAAGCGCTTTAGGTGGAGTGGTTGTTGTCCTACTTGTTCTCTTGGCTAGTTTCTGCATTCGACGCCGCAGAAAGAGAGCTATGTTAGAAGGGTCAAATGTACCAGGTTATCAATTGCAACAAGACATGTCGATGGTCAAAGCAACGCCACCATCCTTTGTTTATGAAACCAGTCCCTCGGACGCTAAAATGTCTTCGAAAGGTAATCAAAATACTCCAGAATCATCGGAATATCTCATACATACTAATGATTCAGTAAATTATCGTCCAATATCGCAGATACCATTATCTCCACCTTTCAGTCCTGCTCCACCATACCGATCCCAGCCTCAATCTCCAGGAGTCTCTGATCAACATGAAATTGACTCTTCTACTGTACACGAAGTGGAATCCCCACCACTCCGGAATTGGTCGCTCATTCCTCGGCCAGGGGCTGCGGAAATGCCAGATACTTCGGAAGATACCTGGCGATCATCAATACCCCATGCCTTAAAGCCAGGGCCTTCCGGGAATTGAGATGGATATAAAAACGTCTAGTTGACGTTCAGAGGAGTGATGGAGCGTATTTGATTCCCTTTTTTTGTTCGTTTGTTTTGGACTTGAGCCCAGGAAGTCATTTGACTATACTTCCCTTTACCCAAGCGTTTACTATGACGTTGATAGCGGTTGTTTAACAAGGAATTACTAAATATCTGAATGATATATCCAAAACAGGTGAATAGATTGCTTGTGATCTTTCTTATTTTGATTCACAATTTTGGCAGCAAGTTCTTGAAGTTTCTAAATTTCTATTTCTTTCTTAATGTTCTCTTTCCTCGGAAATGTGTTGCAACCTACGATCACCTCAAGTAGAATATGTTCTAGGTCTTTCTTGTTCTCTCTTCAAACTGCAGATACAACATAATTCATCTAAACACCTTACCAAGCTCATCCTAATATTTTAATATGGCGAATAATACTATGGGCACTTGTCCTATAGGTGGCCTGGTAAGTATAATCGGTTCTTTTGCCCATCCCCCCTTCCGGATATTCTTGTCGGGGGATTTAATCTTGAACACCGCTCTCGTTTTCATCATAGACAGTTGCTGATCATTCATTGTTCTAGTGGTGAGTTGCTCATCTACCGTCCTTTGAATACCAACATTAAATCATCCAACTAGGTATACCTGTACAGCTCAGAGACCAACCTTCCTCGGATGCTGCACCAGTAACCCATGCAACGGCAAAGGCTGTCCAGCAACTGATCTTCGAGCAGCAGGACTCGGACTTGGACTTGGACTTGGAGAAGAAGTGTCACTTAGTCTCGGCTCTTATTGGCCGAATGTTTATTGTTCTTCTGGAACTTGGTGGATATGTGCAAGCCATAACCCTTCTTTTCAAGGTTGCTGTGATAGCAATCCATGTTTTGGAAATGCTACTAGATGTCCCCAATCTGAACTACATCCTGCTGCTTTCAAATCTGTGACTACTGCTTCGACTTTTCCGGGTTCGCAAAATACTACTTTCCGAACGCTTACCCTCCCGATGGCTACCTTTTCAACCGCTACCTTCCCGGCGGCGACTATTTCTGGAGCAATCACTACTGACCAGCCTCCGATATCAGGATATACAGGATCATCGAGGACCATTCCTTGGAACACGATAGCCTGCGCAACGCAAACTTCTTCGAACTACACAAATTCGAAAAACGAACCTACAACAGCATCGAACCTCTACTTTCATACATCCAGTACATCACTCCCCACCGAAACTGGATCATCGAACACGTCATACACGTATCTTAGCAATACTAGCAACAACGGTAATGGTATGGTAGCTGGACCCACTACAGTGACTATAACATCAATATCCACCTTTACAGCCGTCCGAATCTCAGTGTATAGAGTACCTTACAGTTTGTTAGACTCTACTTATTCCTCGATTTCCTCACCTTTACCCACAAACACAATACTTTACACTTCAAGCTCCCTCGAATCCACATCTATCCCATCTCCTCTCCACGCAGCCGTCTCTACATCACTACCACCTGCCACCGGCGCCACTCTTCCATCCGGTACCACCGCCGACTCAAAACTTGTCGCTTGGGGAGCCACGGGCGGTATCGCTTTTATCTTCATCTTTACTTTTGTATCCTGGTGGATACGACATCGCAAGAAGAGAATCAACAATAACGAGAAGACAATCACGAGCTTCTCATCATTTGCCTGGCTACCATGGAGAAAGAGAAAGAAGGACCTTCCCAGAACATCCCTTTCTACTTATCCCTTCAAAGGAATGGCACCTTCTACATCGGTCAACAATGAAGAAGTGGTTAATGAGACATGGTCTGCTAGTTTGAGAGATTATCGAAATCTTGGGGATATGATGACTGCGGCGAGATATGGTATGCGTCCTTTTGTCTCTTTTCTCATTCGGGAAACTAACAATTTCTAGATTCACATTCGCGAAACGTAATACCACCACATCTATCCGGATATGAATCAAACTATTCACAACCATTCCAATCGCAAACTCGACATACGTCTGAATGTACAAATCCTGTTGGAGTGGGCATAGATAGGAATTCTTTTGGTCAAAGAATGGTGCAGAGGGGTTGGGATGGAATTGATCTGCAAAATGATTAGGTGGCGCGACGTGATGGAGGGGGCAATCATATCAAACAGGGTTGAGCATTCATATCGTCTTGGAGAGGGGGGGGTATGTTTTCGTTGCAAGGAGGTCGTGGTTTAGGTGCTCTCATATAAGATTTTCCCCATTTTAGACCTCCAACTCTCATATTCGATCCATTAACTCAAGATCCAAAAGATTTTAAGCTAGATTCAACTTCCCTTGAGTTAGAATACGGAACTAGATTCATCTCCTCTCATCGGTGATCACGTGTCTTGTCATCTCACCGAGGCTTATTACCAATTCTATATATGCACTCCACAAGATCGTCGCACTGCGGAGTACTTATCCCTACCATTCACCACTTTACTCCGTAAAGTGGTAATGTAACTTTAGATGCAGGGATCGCTGACAACGACCCCTCTTTTCGTTCTTCCTTTGTTTTCTTGCCCTCTTTCCACAACAACACAATACAATCATACAACCCATCTCCCAATCCATAACCATAAGAACTCCATCTCACACATTCCATTCCCCAACAAACAAACAAACAAACAAACAAAACCCAGCAACCGCCAAAATGACCGTCATCATCACCGTCATGTACCCCAAAACCGAAACATCCACCTTCGATTTGGATTACTACCTCAAGAAACACATGCCACTGGTGCAGGAGAAATGGGGACCGCAAGGATTGAAAAACTGGTCGGTTACAAAGCTAGATGAGAGTGGAGGGTATACTATGTATGTTTTCTGGTGGTTCTTATACTATTTCTTCATATCCGAATCCGTGATCGCTTTGAGGTTTTCCTTGAGATGAGAATGCATGGAGGGACAAATGATTGAGGAATGAGAGAGAGAAAGAGAGAGATAGCTGATAGATTGTTAATAGGCAAGCACTCCTCTGGTTTGAGAGCAGTGAAGCGTGGGCCAAGGCGGGAGCAACGGATGGCCCGACCATTATGAAGGATATTTCTAAGTTCAGCTCGGAGCAGCCGTTATTTGTTTTTGGGGAGGTGATAAAGAAGTCTGAGTAGTGTGGCGGTTGATGAGATGTGAGATCTGAGATGGAGGCGATGGAGATGAACAATGAATGGCAGTACGGAATGGTAACGTGATTAGTAGCATGATACATATTCTAACATTTGCATCAAGAGACGTATTTCTTGGGGTGAACAGTGGTTACGGCTTATTTGAGAGTCGTGCTTCTATGTTGTTTGTATCTCTGCTTAAGTGAATATTAGGAAGGTAGGTATGTAATTGAAAAGATTTCTCGACTGGTCACGTGACTTTGCACAGTTGTGTTTTATCTGAAGCGCTTATCGCTCTTAATACCTCTTTATCGTTCTCGCCGCTACCATTATTGCTTTTCGGGACGTTCCACAAGTGAGTGACAAGGGCTTTTAAGTTAGGATCTACTCTGTCACCACTTCTACGTCATCCCTCTTTGCAGATTTCTCAGGTTCGGTGAATAATACCTAGATGTTGTTAGCATTGTTCATACTCCTTTAATCCAATGAAGTCACTTACAACTGGTATTGCAACAGTTGCGGTCAAGATTCCAAGACTCGAGACGAAAAATATCCAGCTTCTATCCCCAAAGGCGAAACTCGTCCAAGCAGGACCTGCGAGAACTCCTGCTGCGCTAGCACTCGTATATAACGAGAAAACCTGTCCACTAGCTCCTGTCTTACCAAAAATGCCGGGTGTCTTTTTCTCCATACTTGCTACGGCTCGACTCAAGTCAGCGCCTAATGGTGATGAACCGAAAACTCTGGCAATTCCTATGACTCATATCAGCATCTGCAAAAGACAAGGACCATTCAAATGAAAGGGGATAAGCTTACCATAAAGTGTAAGAAGAATACAAAGGCCAACAATCTGATCAGTGCTATTCCTCTGTATCAAGACCAGCAAAACGGTGAAGATGGCAGATACGATGAAATATGATGCCGTGAGCCATCGAGAAGGCCAGACATCAGAAAGTCTACCAGCTATCGGTGCTAAGAATATAGGGAATGTTATGGTCAAGAAGATCAGGCCAGCACCGGTTGAGTCCCAGTTGAATTTTCTTTCCACAAATATGGGGAGTGCTGCGTCGAAACTTGCCAGCAGGAATACCGTTACCCAGACGCCATACAGATCAGCCCATATGCGTGGAGATTTTAACAAAGTCACCAAAGCTATTGGGTGCTTCTTGTTATCTTCTGCTGCAGGCGAGTTCTGATCGCTCCCCCTCAACAACGGTTCAGATTCTGCATTGCTACTAAACGATGTAGCAGAATTTGGTTGTTCAAAAATAGCCTCGTCGATACTTCGCTGAAAAGTCCCATAAGTTTGGGTTCCATCTTCATCTTTGGGTTTCCTCAACCTTGCCGCCACTTTCTTTTCGATCATAAACAAACGCATGATGATATCGATCGCAATAAGGATAAACATCACAATGAACAATGATGCATATCCAATCTTTGCGTACATAATGCCGCCTATGGTTGGAGAGATCAACATTCCAATGTTAAGACTCGAGATCACGTATCCCATCCATTGTCCGATATCCTTTGGTCCAACTGTGTCTGCAAGCAAAGCGAAGCCGACTGTATACACTACAGCTGCTGAGAGCCCTTGTAGGAAACGGCTGAGAGCTAGTATCCAGACATTCTGTGCGGCATACAAGACAGCCGTGGCAGCAGCATTGGAGAAGAATCCCAGGAGCAACGGTGTTCGTCGTGATGAACTTCGATCAGCATAGTACCCAAAAAGTGGACTCGCTATTAATTGTGCAAGACCAAAAGCCGTCAAGAGCATAGAATTCCAGAACTCAACTAGAAGATATTAGTCTCCTGACTTGAACAGAATATCTTATCTGAAGGGGAGAAGTTATTCATACGGTCCTCATCTGCGACTCCAATCCGACCTTCCAATTCCTTGGGAAGAACAGGAATGACCACTCCATATATGAAAGAATCCTAGAATGTGAATATTAGCTTTCTCTTTCCTCTAAGTGTCTGCGACTCCTACTTTCACTTACACTGAAGGATGCAACACAGATCGTGCTGACAATGAACCATTTCGATGATCGTAGTTCCAGAAACTTTGGTTCTTTCTGCTCTTTTTGGATTTCAACAGCTTTGGACTTGAATGGCCACATATTGGAAACAAAGTCGAGGAACTTCTGTCTCTTGAGTCCTGTTGAATTAGTTTCGGACTCTCAATCGTGCGGGATCATACAATAATGTATGATGGGGGAACTTTGTGATACTAAGATAAGAGATGCTCCTATCAAAACTGTGCGACAACCATTACTGAAAGATATGTATAAAACATTATTAGGTACTTTTGATCGCTCGAATATCACTTTAAATAAAGTGCCATGCAACGGCATGCATACGATAGTCTGGCTAATTCTGCATGTCAGTGAAATCTGATTCTTCACGAGGCAATAGTTTTCAGCTGTCATGCATCAGATAGAACCGAATATTGGGCTAGATGCCCAGCACCCGCCTTTTTCTCGCAATTTTATTACTTCGATTAGTCAATAAGTGACAAGTTGATATCAACGATTAAGAAATAACCAGAAATAACAGCTTCTTCCCAATTATCCCAATAGCATTGATAGATCAAAGATCCAATGCACGTAAGTATTATTACACATAAATACTCGCAATTTAGTTTGATTGGGTTACATGGTCATTGACTTACATGGTCGCCATTGACAAGGGTCTTGAGCGACAGATATTGAAAATTTTGTTTCAGCTACTAATTTTCTTTGTATTTTTTCCAAATGTACAAGTGTACGTATTCAAAATACTCGAGCACCATTGCATAATGAGTTTTGGTGTGTTCGCTTTGATTGATGATTGATGCCGCGTCAGTTTTGGAGATTATACGGCAATATGTTTGTCTCACAATGATTGATTGATATATGCCTGAGTCTAGTTTAGGATCTAGCTATGTTGATGGCAGATCTTAGACAGTTTGTACCAAGCATTTGTGCTAGACTGCAAGTAGTCTTTTTTGGCTAAACTGCTTCTCAGTTGAAATTATGGTAACACATTATGTTCTGTACCTTTTCGATCCGCCGTACTTACTACCTAATTATTATTTTCAGATAGGACCAATATCATCAATGGGTGGAGCGCAGAGAATATGTCTGAGAAAAGAGATTGCCTCTTGCTTTATACCGAGGATATGGATCGATCTGCCCCTGTCTCAGATCTTCCTGGGCCAGCTTACCCCGCAGATCTTTAAAGCTCGTCTTGGAAAGCTTTCCTTGTCGCCTCCTGAGTAATCATCTTGCGTAAGCCACCAGAACATACGTCCTGCAATCATGTATATCTTCATACCCTGTTTAGCTGTTCGGTATATACAGCCATAGGAAATCAAGCCATGCTTTTAAAGTGGCATCATACTTCTGATTTCGTAAAGGATTGCATTCAGTTTGAACATGTCCGCCAGAGCTTCTATTATCCCCGAGTCATTTGAAATATGGAATGGCTGGATGTTCTATTTCTATCCCGTCCTGTCGCCGTTTACATTAGCCGACGCCTCATTTTAACGAAATGCCCGGGTGGGAAAAACTTAAGGTTAGGGGATTCCCGGAAATGGTATGGATACACGGGTCGTACATCTTAAGGAACACTACAAAAAATACAAGATTTATTGATGATCCCTTCGTTACCGCCGGGGATGACATTACATCACCATGGTTGATTTGTAGCCTAACAGTCTACGGACATAAAACACACTTCGGATTCTCAGGGATTGATAATTGTGGCTTCATGGTTGTCTATGTGGCAGCTGTAATGATGTTGAGATCGTATAGAAATGACGCTATGTTATGAGTCTAATGAGGTAATTCAACGGAGGAGCCAGGGTGGTGGGTATCAAATCGGGGAGTGATGAACTGTGAACTCGTAGGTTGAGTTTGAAGTTTGTTAATCCACCCTGAAAGTGTTGGCTGAGACAAGGCAAGGGTGGACGAGCACACGTTGGAAATGGAGTCGGATACTTAAGGACCGAACGATGCTGGAGTATAAATTGCGAAGAGCCCCCTGTCTAAGTCTCCTACTCACTCAACGTCTAAGCTTGAACTTTTGCAATCCTTGGGAACGAACCCATCTTGTCCACGGTCAAGTATTCTTGCTACAAGATAGGTAAGTGGCCACTATTCGAGGATATTTACTATAGACTAATGAAATTGAACTCCTTAGGATTTTCAACATGGCAGTGACAGCTAAGCACTACTTTCCTGATCTTGTTCACATGGGTCAGCGTCCGCCCAAAGAAGAGCGAGTTGAGAGAGCAGATCCCGTGATAGATTTGGAGCTAGCATCAAAACACTGTCTCTCCGATTTGCTCTGTAGTGAACGTCCCCAGGTGTCAATCACAGGCACGGATTATGACTTGGATAAAAGAGAAGAGCCTAATGTTGAGCCTTTCTCACTTCTCAGCCCCGAGCAAGACCATGATGAGATTCGAAGGCAAATGCCATTGAACGCGAATATAGTTGACGCATACCCAAGCACAGCTCTTCAGGAAGGACTATTAGCACTGTCAATGAAGCAATGTGGCAGCTTCACTCCTCAAATCATTTGCAAGCTTCCAGCAAACATCAATTTGGTTAAGTTCAAAGCCGCTTGGCAGAGTACAGTCGATTCGAATTCGACGCTTCGAACCGGTTTTGTTCAAACGAGGAATTCAGGCCTACTTCAAGTAGTTTTGGACCCAGAACCAATCCTATGGTCAGAAGATATTGATCTGGAGGGTTACTTGAACAACGACAAAAACATCTTCCCTTCATTTGGAAAAAGTTTATTGAGATACGGCCTCATCCATAATCATGAATCCAATTCTTTATATTTCGTTTGGACCTTTCATCATGCAATTCTTGATGGATGGAGCATGCGTTTGATCCTTAGACAGGTCGAGGAATCATATAAAGGAGAAACTTTTCAAACATTGGTGGATTTCAAGCATTTCATTGCTTATCAGTTGAAACTCGAGAGACAGTCAAAGAAAGGAAGTGAAATCTTTTGGAGCAATCACCTGGCAAACACTTCGAGAGTACAATTTCCCGCTGTCCTATCGCAACACCAACCACGTGCAAATGGCTACTCTGAACGGTTCATTCACGTGGGAGAAACCCCATCGGCTGGTGCAACGACATCCACAATTATACAAGCCGCATGGGCCATCCTGTTAGCGCGGCGCACTTCTGCCACGGAAGCTACTTTTGGCATCGTCCTTGCAGGGCGCAATTCAAAGATCCCAGGTGTCAATCTGAAAAAGGTCAATGGTCCAACGTTCAATTCGTTACCCATGCGAGTAGTCATTGAAGACAGCAAATCTGTAGAGGATCTTTTCGCCTCAGTCCATACTTCCCGAGTCGCAATGAAACCCCATCAGCACATTGGCCTACAAAATATCCGCCGGCTCGGGACGGATTGCGCTAGAGCTTGCAATTTCCAGAACCTACTTGTTATCCAACCCAGATTAGAGAGGGATACCGGCAGCATATTCGGCTCTAGAGTGAATACCAGCGATCACTGGGCAAAGTTGAATGCTTATCCTCTCATGATGCAATGTGATCTAATGAAGGATGGCTTCACTGCAATGACCAGCTACGACTCCCATGTAATATCTGATCAAGAAATAGACATTTTGCTGCAACAGTTTGAAGATATCGTTTCTCGTTTGTCCGACCCAAGTATCTTGGTCGGTGATATAGGGCTGTCAATATCGAAATTACAAAGTCAACTGGCCATTCAAGAAACTGGGGCTGAGGAGGTGCAATCTTGCGTTCATGAAGTTATTCGACAGAAATCACAGAATCGCGAATCTGAACTAGCGGTGACATCTTGGGATGGCGAGTTGACTTACGCTCAATTACACTCCATATCTGATCGGTTAGCATATCTTCTCCAGTCTGCAGGAGTTCGACCTGAGGTTAAAATTGCACTAATATTTGAGAAATCTCTATGGGCTGTAGTTGCCATGATAGCAGTGATGAAGGCGGGAGGAGCATTTGTCCCAATGAGCCTCGATCATCCTAAGGATCGAATCAGGAAACTGTTGAAGCAAATAGGTGGAACAGTGATGCTGTGTTCTGAAAATCTCTTTGCTTCCTTTGATGGCCTTGCCGATCAAACATTTGCTGTGGGAAGATCGATACTCGAAAAACAACCGGAAGGCTTATTATGCACAGATGTCCAACCGAACAATTCAATTTACGTTATCTTCACTTCTGGAAGTACTGGAGAACCAAAGGGATGCGTAATAGAGCATGCTACATGCTGTACTACCATTCGTCACCTCTCCCATTTCTCTCAGATGGATTCCCAGAGTCGCTGTCTTCAACTATCGGCATACTCATTCGATGGCATGGTTTTCGAAATCCTTGCTACTTTAAGTGTTGGAGGCGTTGTGTGCATACCATCAGACGATGAGAAAATGAACAACATTACATCGGCAATCAATCGAATGCAAGTCAATACCGCATTCATGACAACTGCTTTTGGGAGATTGATTCTTCCAGAGTCCGTACCAACGCTGAAGACTCTTCTTATCGGAGGAGAAAAGTTAATTCAAGAGGATCTAGATCGATGGCTCGGAAAACTACGTTTGTTACAAGTGTATGGTCCTACCGAATGTTGTTGTAAGCTTGATCGTTTCTTTCATATCCCACTCCCCAATGTCCAACTCTATGGGAATGTTCATCTTCTGCATTTTCTCCATTTCCCTATACAACCTTTGTTACCTCATTCATCTCCGAGAGTTTTCTTTGGTAGGTAATTACTGACTCCTCCATGTTGCAGGTATGTGCATTGGAACTGAGATCACCGAGAAAGGTGCCAATCCAGCCAGAATAGGATCTGGTTTCGTTGGAAGTTTCATTGTCCTCGGCGAGAACAATCAATTGGCACAACGAGGAGCTGCGGGGGAGCTATTGATTGGTGGCCCACTCGCAAGAGAGTATCTCAAGAACCCCGAGAAGACGGAATCATCGTTTGTACCTACGCCTTCTTGTGTGCCTACCGAAACCACTCGATGGAAAAGATGGTATAGAACAGGCGACTTGGTCAAAATGGATGTTGATGGTTCAATCGTGTATATTGCGCGAAAAGATACAGTATGTACTATCTCTCTTCGGGTCATTTCATACCTCTTCTGCTTGAGCCATCTCACGCTCAAGATGACAGTCCTTGGAAACATGCTTCCTGGAATATTCGAGCGAGGTACGGTCGTATCATGCGAGATGTATCCTCCTTAGTACTCATCCGCCACTGGATGTTTTGTGCTTCAGGGCCATTCCCGTTAGGCTAGAGTCTTCCAATATCTGCACCTATGTTATATAAGCATACCATTGAATGATGCCGAGTGCGAGAGACATCACATACTGACTATGGCTTAGGGCGCACAAGTTAAGCTAAACGGCCAAAGGATTGAGATGGGTGAAATCGAAAGTCACCTCCATCAAAATCTCGATAACGTTGTAGATCTAGCCACAGTGATAGCAACGCCTGTGGATGGTAGGTCGCCATTCATAGCAGCCTTCTTATGCCTTAGAGAAGGCTGCTTCAGCGGAGATAGGGAAGAAAGTTCTCTTCTCAAGGAATGTCTCGATAAATCTACGATCCGATCGCTCCTTGACCGCCTAAGTCTCGCGTTACCTCAGTACATGATACCAAAAGTATATGTTCCCTTGTCATCAATACCTCTTACTATCTCTCAGAAGTGCGATCGCCAAGCACTACAAACTATGGCAGCTGGCTTAACGACTTTGGAATTTGCGTATTATTCAGGTCAAGAGGCTACACACTCTGCTCCTGTGACAGAGAATGAGCTTCAAATGCAGCGTCTATGGGCCGTTATTCTGAAACTTCCTCCGGGAAGTATAGGAAGGAACGATAACTTTACACGACTTGGTGGAGACTCCATTCTTGCTATGAAGCTCGTTGCAGCCGCGCGAGAAGATGGCATTGACTTGACTGTCGCGAATATTTTCCAAACTCCAATACTTTCGGATCTAGCAGAAACTTGTGCGGAAACAGATAGTTCCAGAAATGAGGATGATATTAAGGCATTTTCTCTGATTGAAAGGCGCGATCAGCTGCTGGAGGCAGCCATTACTGGTGGTATTCAAGCAGATCTTGTCGAAGACTTGTACCCATGCACTCCCTTTCAGGAAGCCATCATGGCTCTCTCGATGAGTCATCCCGGTACGTATGTTGCACAACACGTTTTCGAATTATCCAAAGACGTATACTCTAATCTCGACAAGTTTCGCGGCGCGTGGAATGAAGTTGTACGTTCGAGTTCAATTCTTCGTACGCGCATCATACAACCTGAATCAGCTGGCCTGATGCAAATTGTAATGAGCGAAGATGCTTCATGGAAAATGCAAGAGAATCTCCAACAATATCTGAAAGCCGATAAGGCCCTCTCGATGGGCTTAGGTATGCCTCTCAGTCGCTACTGCATCGTTCAAGAGACGCATTCGGACTGCCAAAAGTTTTATTTCGTTCTTACCTTACACCATGCAGTATACGATGCCTGGAGTATGACTTTGATGCTCCAGAAGGTGGGAAAAGAGTATACAATGCTCACCAAAATGTCTACAAATATTCCAGGCTCCATACATCACGCGAACACACTGTTTAATCGATTCATAAAATCAGTGCTAGATTTAGATCGGCCAGCAGCAGAAGAGTTTTGGAGATCTGAGTTTGCGAGTGAGGGTGCAGAGCCATCACATTTCCCAATATTCAGAGCTGGGTACCAGCCCCAACCTAGTGCAATCGCTGTCAAGGAGATCACACTGGCTCGTAAAGCTATTTCCGACTTTCGAATCTCGAATCTCATCCGAACAGCTTGGGCAATCGCGATCAGTAACTACTCCAACTCGAATGACATAGTATTTGGAGAAGTCCTAGCTGGACGTGCAGGTTCGTCGGCCGACCTCATTCGAGTCGTCGGACCTACACTAGCTACTGTACCGGTAAGTAACTTCTCGAATTTTTCATATGACCCCTGAATTTGTGAACTTTTGGATCTTCATGTGATCTCAAATACACTTTCAATGTTAAGCCCACAGTTACAAATTCAAAATAGCATTTGAGAAGTCTCTCAACACTGCTAAACGCAACATTCACTTCCAGCTAAAGCATTGAATCGTCATGTTCTGGGTTAGCTCACTTGAGTGAAGTGGCATTTCGTGATTTCATAACGTTATGTACTGACTGTATCAATTTATAGATCAGAATTATGTTTGATCCCCAGGAAACGGCACTCACTCTACTTCGGAAAGTTCAGGCTAAAATGATTCAAATGATACCTTTCGAACAGACTGGCCTCTCAAACATCCAACGACTAGGTGAAGAACTGAAAAAAGCATGCGAATTTCAGAGCATTCTAGTCATACAACCCAAGGAAAATTCGACTATCGACGAATCGTTCATGGGTCGACGTCAGCTGGATCTCGTGGACGCAACTGTGTGGGACACAAATGCACTGACTCTAGAATGTCATCTTGCTTCGGACGGGCTGAAGGCAAAGGCAATCTTTGACTCGAAAATCATTGAAAGCAGTCAGATGGAGCGAATACTTTCTCAATTTCAGCACGTCCTTCAACAGTTGTGCCACGAAGATGCAAACATAACTGTCCAAGATATCAATTCCATCAGCGAGGTTGACCGAGAACACGTTTGGGAATGGAACTCCACGTTACCAGACGTGACAAAATCTTGCGTACACGATGTTATTGATGTCATGACGAAGCAAGACCCCCAGTCCCCAGCAATTTCCTCTTGGGATGGTGATTTCACTCGCGCTGAATTGGATAGACTTTCATCTCGACTAGCTTTTCAAATGATGAGGCATGGTATAGGGCCTGGAAGCAAAGTCCCATTATTCTTCACTAAATCGAAATGGGCCATTGTTGCTACATTGGCCACTATCAAGTCCGGTGCTGCATTTGTACCTTGCGATCCTTCTCACCCTAGGTCACGTCTCGTTTCAATCATCGACCAGGTGAATGCTGAAGTAATTCTTTGCTCAAGCGACGTCCGACGGACGTGCCTGGAAACATTTCCTCGCGGCAAAACAATCGTGGTTGGGCAAAATGAGATCAATACATTACCAGAGCTCACGGATGTCGTAAGTATTGTCGCACCTGAAGACCCTCTCTACATATGCTTCACTTCGGGTACCACTGGCACTCCTAAGGGTACGGTAATTACCCATCAAGCATATTGCTCGGGAGCAAGGGATCACGGTAAAGCGCTTCACTTCAGCCCATCATCTCGATTCTTGCAATTCGCTTCTTATAGTTTCGATACTTCTGTCGAGGATATCCTAACGACTCTGATGACTGGAGGTTGTCTTTGTATACCATCTGGTACGTATTTGCGATTCTTCATGATTACAGATAACTAATCAATTTACTGTAGAAGAAGAACGGAATTCTGATATTGTGGGAGCAATAGCTAGAATGAATGTGAACACGGCGGATCTTACACCTTCTTACATCAGCTCGATCTCACCCGACTCAGTCCCATCACTTAAAAGAGTGACACTTGGTGGAGAACCTATCACTGCCAATGTGATCAAGACCTGGGCGGATCGTGTTCATTTGATCAATGCTTTCGGAACCACTGAATGTTGCGTGTAAGTTTTGATTCTATTTTCGTACAGACCCTCAATCGGAAAACACACCCTCTACTTTTTTCGTTCTTTTCGGTTGAAAGTGACGTACACTACATCATCTTCCCTCTAATTTTATCTTTATAATTGCTGACTTAGCCACATTCTAGAACAAGTGTGGTGAACTCAGAAATTTCTACAAGCACTTCTCCCACAAATATTGGGCGTGGAGCTGGTGCCGTCACTTGGATCGTGGATGTCGAGAACTCGAACCGCCTTCTACCTATCGGCGCAATTGGAGAATTACTTATCGAATCACCCGCAATGGCTTCAGGATACCTTAACGATGACGCGAAGTCTAAAGCTGTCTTCATAGATAGTCCCAGCTGGGCTCACAACTTTAGCTCGGGCCAACGTCCTGGACGTCTCTACAAGACCGGAGATCTTGCTCAATACAATTCGGATGGAACAATCAGCTATCTCGGCCGGAAGGACACTCGAATCAAACTTCGCGGGCTTCGTATAGAAATATCGGACGTGGAGCATCATCTACTAAGTCACCCACAAGTCAGAAAAGCTATGGTTGCCCTGCCTACTTCGGGGCCATATGTGGACCAGCTTACTGCGATAATCGAGCTCGACATTTCCACCAAATTCGAGAAAGATGGTGGGATAGAGGTAGTATCCCAGTTGGAACTCGAAGCTTCGGGATTTCAATGGTCTAGTATTTCCAATCATCTATTACAAAATTTGCCAAGTTATATGGTTCCTTCTTCTTGGATTGCCACGAATAACATACCGCTTCATACCTCCGGAAAACTGGACCGTCCTAGGCTCTCTAATTGGCTCACCAATCTTCCGACGATGCAAAGAACTGAAACCTTCCCCAAAAGTAGCGAAGCACCTTTCCTGTTATCAGATGACCATATCGCATTGGAAATCAGTGATAGGCTTGCACAACTTATTGCTACAAAACCTTCTTCGCATACCAATTCAGATATTATAGGCCGTGATGTCAACCTAGCTTCTATTGGAATAGACTCTATCAAGATTATGTCTCTAGCAGCTTTCATCAAACGATCATATGGAGTCAACATTGCTATGCCAATACTAATCAGCCATCAAACCACAATCTCAGACGTCTCAAAGCATATTCGGGTTGCGGCCAAAGTCAAAGATGGAACTCCCATGGAGTCAGTCCCTACTTTAGACCTGATGAACGAGGTTTTGCACTTGGATACACAATTAGCCTCGATCCAGCATCATTTCGGAGTAGTCTTCTTGACAGGCGCAAGTGGGTTCCTAGGTACACAGATACTGCGAGAGCTGCTTAACAGACCTGGAGTCGAGAAGGTCATTGTACATGTGCGTGCTTCAAGCAATGAAAATGGCAGACAGCGCATCATAACAGCAGCTAGATCCGCGAGATGGTGGCATGACTCCCTTGCCGCCAAACTTGAAATCTGGATAGGTGACTTAGCCAAACCCATGTTAGGTCTGGACTTGGAACAATGGCAGCAACTAGGAACAGTCGATGCGATTATTCATAATGGGGCTTCAGTACAATGGAGTGCGGACTATCACACTCTTAAAGCTGCCAATGTCACATCCACTTTTGACATCCTGAAAGCTATCACCGGAAGCGTTTCACCTCCGAAGTTTGTTTACGTATCTGGAGGTCGTGACTTTGAAGGAGAAATGGATGATAGTAGGACCGCTATGAAATTGAAGGTACTCGATGGTTATAGTCAGACCAAATTCGTTTCAGAGCTACTCGTTAGAAACTTTGCTCAACGAGCTGCAGTTTCTGGTCAAGGTAACTATGTCTCCATTGTCAAACCAGGGTTAATCATCGGAACAAAACAAGAAGGAGTTGCCAATACGACCGACTTTCTCTGGAGATATGTCGCCGGCGCAGTAAGCATTGGTGCATATCCCATCCCCGACAAACACGACTGGTTAACCGTGGCACATGCGGATCTCGTCGCAAACTCTACCATTAATGCCTTAATGCATACTCCCAATAATCAACAGCATACCATGGATATACTCTGCGGAGTCGACATGCAGAAGTTTTGGGATATTGTCAATAAACACATGGGACATCGTCTTCGACCAATTACATCGTATGAGTGGGTGCAATTGGTACAAAATGATATTGAGAAGAGGACGGAAGCTCATCCGCTTTGGCCAGTGGCTCATCTTATTATCAAGGAGGCAAATTTGGGCAAGAGTAAGAGACCGCTGGAGTTGAATGAGGTGGTGGAGAAGGAAGTGGAGGAGGCAATTGCGAAGAATGTGGAGTTTTTGAATGAGACTGGATATTTCGGGGAGGGGTTTAATGGAAGCGCGGTGGGAAAATAATGGGAAGGTGAAAGGCTTTTGCTTCAAAAGTCTAGGTTGTTTTCTGCATCTTTATATCATGACGTCGTCAATCATTGGTGTCTTTCATTTCTTCACATCATAGGTGCACCTGGTTTGGGTTTTAATTGAACTCTCCTCGTTTCTTCATCAACTTCTACTTGCATGTGAAGGGTTATCCCATTCAAAAAAAGAGTATGCACATATCTACAAGAAGAAAGGGGTTGAAACCATGTCGGCTTGCCCTTTTTGGATAAATTCCGATCACAGATCCAGAAGTCTGATATACCGTATCGGTAGAAGGAAGGTGATCAAGTAGCGAGTTCATGTATGAGTCCGACTATTGTGTGATGTGGCTTATGCATTTCATCCTTTCTTTCCCTCTTCCGGGTCTTCCCTTCCTCTTCATCTTCTTCTTCTCCTCGTGAACTCTTGATTACAATCTCGAGCTCGCCATCCTTATCTTATCCTCTTAATAGGTGAGCAAGCACAAGTTTTGGAGCTGTGTTGCATTATTCTTTCCTTTGGAATTTGATTGATACCCCCTCGGATTCTATACCGCTACGGCCTTTCTTGTTAATTCATATTTTATGTTCCAGTTGGTATGGAGACTTCATTACTCACTTGATCGGATTTCTACTGCTACCCATCTACTGTACCATCCTTTCCAATCATCCAACTTTCCAATCATCCAGTTGTGTTCAACGTTCAATTGTCTTTGAGCAGGCAATTTCCTTGTGTCTTTTTACTACTTCATCTGATTTGTGGTATACGCTAGCATATTACGTCTTTTATCGATATCGCGAGTATCGAGATACCTCTGATAGCGTGGGAGGAGAAAGAGGAAAGGAGAGAGGCGAATAAAGAAATGTTGAGACCAGCGTCCCAGACATATCTCTCTAGCGCGAGAATGAGATTGGGAGTCCGAGAAGAGCTTGGAAACTTGAAGAGTTTGCAGAGTCTGAAGGGCTTGAAAGGTTGCGAGTCTAAAAGATTGCGGGTTTTGTCAGAGTCTCCTGAGACAACAAATCTCTGATCAGAGCGATGAGGAAGGACCTGACAGGGAGAGAAACTTCCATGAACATTACACAGTTACACCTCTGATCAAGGTTCCTGATGAGGAGAACAGAAGACTTTCCATCAATATGATACTTCTGTTGGGAGATCCCTGGTGATCTTCTACTAGGAAGTTTCTGTTAAAATCCTCTCCCAAATACAGCTTCTTAATATCATCTCTTTAACTACGAGTACTCAGTATGAGCATATTCATCGTCCCAGATACGCGGTCGGGACTGGTAAGATTCAGTGTGGTCAATCTTGGTGGGATGAAACACAATGGGGATTAGACTAGTGAGGTCAGTCTTCATGAAGCTTATCTCAATTGGGATTAGATTAGCGTAGTCAGTCTGGTGAAGTCTTCATGAAGCTTATCCCAATAGGGTTTGGACTAGTGCGGTGAGTCTGGTGAGGTCTTCATGAAGCTTATGCCAATAGGGCTTGGACTAATGAGGTCAGTCTTCATGAAGCCAGTCTCAATCGGGGTTAGACTAGTACGGTCAAGTGCGACCGTCCTTGGTGCGGCCGTTTCTTAGTGGTGTAAAGTTCCCGGCTATACTTCCCTGCTTGGTACGTATCGCATATCGCATGCGGCTGGATGAGAGTTTGTAGAAATAATAGATAGATTGAAGTGTTTTGGTTGGTTGAAGTACCGGTATTACTGTTCTTTCTAGCGAGAGTAAGGAGAGAGAGGAAAGAGATAGGAAATAGGAGAGAGGAGGAGGAGGGAGGTATATATAACTGTTTCGCCGGCGGCGGAGACGGCGAATTGTTGGTGCATGAATTCGAATACAGTACATATGTATGGAGATGGAGAGAATCGGGAAGTGGGGTGTGAGGTACCGGTATATTTTAGTTAATTTTGGGTACCGGTATGTAGGTAATTAGAATTAGATGATTGGGGAAGCGAGGAAGCGAGGATGCGGGGGAGAATAGGAGGGGGTTGTAGGAGGAAGTTAGGTCGCTGTGGGAACTGAGAAAAGATTGTATGTATATCAAGGAGCCAGACAGAGACTTTGTTAATTGAAGTCTGGATGATGGGTAGTGATGATTATGATTATGCATATGTATAATGAATTGTGTTTAGGAAATAATTCAAGCAAGTACCATCCCATCAACACTTTCGAATCCAAGATTCAAAGATTCGAAGAATGGGTTAAGTGAGGTTAATAAATGGAAGTACTCTAGTATTAGTCCTCCCATTCCCCCTTTGAATCCTTTGAGAGCAGTATATGAGGCGAATAGAAATCTGCGATGTGTATAATATATGTCCGAACTTCGAGGTCTGAATAAGGATACACTGTTTGTTGATTATTAAATAACTACTATAGAATGAATGCTAATAACGACCCATGAAGATATATATATAATGTCAGATGTGGATGTACATGAACTATTCACTACAGAGTGTTGTGATACCTCAAAACAGGATATTGAAACTTTTAAAACTTCATGTTACCCCCGGTGAGCCAGGACAGGACTTGAGATACTTCTCCCGATGGGCTCCCGGTGATTTGGCCAATGAGTTTTACTATGAGAGGGTTTTGACTGATCTGAGAATTAACTTAGGGAACCGACTAAATTCCAATTAAGCAATACTATTCAATTATTCTTTATCCCTCTCGGCAAACACGGGTCGTGACCAACCCCATAAAGTCCGCACGTAGACCACAATATATATGAACCACCCTTCTTACATCAGTCTGAGCAATAGATTACTGGGATAAATATATCTATTGGGTATCTAACTATTAATTCGCCTTCCTACTACAAAATGCATATGACTCCAGCTTCAATACTATATACAATTAGTTTACAATTTGTGTACATGTGTCGTCACACCCCCGGGAACTTCCTTCCCAATCCTTCTGCCCACCGCGCGTATAATACATCAGCAAGTTGTTTCGTATGCTCCATTCCTGGCACTGTTTGTCCAGGTAAATTTGACTTCTCCTTCGGCTCCACTTCTGGCATGACACTGGATTGCCTCCGGCGATGACTCTTGAGGTGTGGATTAGATGTTGCCAATATTAGTTTACCATTAGCGGCTTTCTGTGGCGATCCTTGAGGGGTCCCATCTCTCACTACTAAGGACTTGCTTGGGGAAATATGTGAAGCAATCTTGGGTTCTTGCTCCACCTTATCTATCAAAAGCTTGAGTAGATGATATTCGCCTTCTGGATCTACAGCGTCGAGGGCAGCCCAGGCATCGGCCAGATGGGACAGTGCTTGTCTTTTAGCTTGATCACCAGTTTGTGCATGCATTTCTTGGAATGCTGGATCCACAACTTTCGTGTAAACACGTCGTCCAAGGTATGCTTCTTTCGTGTTGGCTTCAGCTACTTGCACGAGTGCTTTATTTTCGTCTCCCGATGGAACTTCTGCTGAATCTTCGGGGCTACTTGGTCTGGATGATATTGAATTATTCGATACCCTGCGGAATAATCGAACTGTTGAACCGGTATTACCAAAGCTCATATCCGGTGCTAGTGGTGGTCTCCTCGCTGTATTATTTTGACTCTGTATACTGTCCTGACGAGGCCTAGTGGATGAAGGATGTTGCACTGCTGGCGGCTGCCTTCTGACGGTACCTCTGTCGGCCGGTAATGACGGGGGTGAAGAATACTCCAAAGGCGAATCTTTGAGATCTAATTTTTTGAAAGCTTCTTCTGGAGTTTGGCTACCCTGGCCATTTGCATGAATGACAGAAAGCTTCCTTCTTTTGCTCCCATTCTTTCGCGATGGTGCTACAGTAATGGTAGAAGCCTTAACCGTATCAAAGACCCATCCATCGGGCTCATATTTCGGAGTCATCGTGTTGCTGTAATGTGTTAAATGCTGATAAGAGAATCAGATGGCCTAGATGCTTACAGTGTTTCTTCATAGTATTTGGGATGCGAGGGCCGAGTCCTTGATCCATCCCACTCTTGTCTTCTCTCCACCAACTCCTGCAAAGCCTCAACCTTTCCTGCAGAGCGGATGAACTTATGCTTCAACAGTTGCTTTGCCGAAGGTCTGCGATCGCAGTCTTTGACCAAACATTGTGCCACAAAATCTTTAAATTCCTTACTATAATTCGGGCCTTCTAATCTTGGTGCCGGTGCTTTGGGTATTTGAAATAGAACCTTCATTGGATGTATCGAAGCATGAGGTGGTTCTCCGTTTACCATCTCTATTGCCGTGATTCCAAGTGACCAAATATCCGCTTTGAAGTCGTATCCTGCTTGTTGAATAACCTCTGGTGCCATCCAAAAAGGGGTACCGACGAAAGTATTCCTTTGTGATTTTATATTCGTGAGTTGTGCTGCGACTCCAAAATCTGCCAGTTTAACCTTTCCCGTGGTCGATAGTAATATGTTGGCCGCCTTTATATCTCTGTGTATTTTTCCTTCCTGATGAAGATAATCCAGACCTAGCAGAATCTCTCGACAAACAATCGCAATATGGGCTTCGTGAAATGGGGCGGGTTTCAACTAGGGTCCACGTCAGTAGATTATCACTATTCACAGGTGAATAATATAATACCAGATCCAGGCATGATCCTCCACCCAAATACTCCATAACAATCCATAACTTATGACCACGAAGAAAACTTCCTTTATATTGAGTAACGTATGGACTGGCGCAGGTGCTGAGGACTGATATCTCTTGTTGGATTTCTTGTATATCGTCTTCACTAGATTCAAGATCGATATGCTTAATCGCACATATTTCCCCCGTAGCCCTTTCAATGGCCTTGTATACGACACCAAAACTTCCAGATCCAAGCTCTTCGAGAACTTGATATTGTGACGCCGCCGATTCGGACATTGTGAAAGCAAGCACAGTGGAGGCAATGGCCAAAAGGTTAGATATGTATAGTAGGTGGAAACAAAAAGTTTTTTTTTTGGATATCAATTAACTTCAGTATAATTAATTTGTATTAATCAGATATCAATTGAAACTGATAGAGATATCAAATTAATCATGGTCGAGATTCTTTGATTTATTTGTTTTCAATATAATATGTATGAATGTATGAATGAGTACAACATTAATAACCTCAGAGTTGAGGTAAACAAATGTAATTGACGAAGCGACCAATGGCCCCCCCCGGTGAAGTTGCTATAACAACCTTGACAACAAACCAAAAACCATAACTTGTGCCATCGAAAAAAGGGATATCGAAATTATTGTTTTTGTCTTAAAAAATTGAAAAGTTTACTATTTTACTATATATCTCCAAAATCAGCATATAGTTTATTTATTATTAAGATAATAATAATAATAATAACATGGAAGCTCTGAAGACAAGACAAGACAAGCCAACCCAACCCAACTCACCCCACGAAACTTAGATTGAATTGCCATCCATGTACCGGTAGCGCTTTGTTTATCGATAATAACATCATCTCGATTAAACCATCGCAGTCGCAAACATCCTCAATATGGTGCCAGCTCCGGGTACTTTACCTACCAGATTTCCTTGTTGGTGCAGAGCTGTATATTCATTCAGCGGGGAGGTAAGTTAATTATATATTACAATTTTATACTCATACCATCGTCAAGTTCTAACGATACGATTGCGCAGTCAAAACGCGACTTGGGTTTCATTGAGGGGGATTTGATAGAATGTTTGAACGCAGGAGATGGATCATGGTGGATGGGTCGATTACGGAGGGACAAAAGAATGATGGGACTTTTTCCTTCGAATTTTGTACAAGTACTGGATGAGAGTTTTCGACCAACAAGCCGAGCATCAAGTCAAATGACGGATCGAAGTCCTAGTCCAAATCCTTTCAAAAATCCAACAGCTCCGACGAAAACCAAGAGTAAAGCGATGCGGAAACCCTTTCAAGCTTATGCTGCGCCGGATATGGGAGCAATAAAGAGGGCAGAGGCAAGGGAAAAGGAACGTCTTGCGGCTTTGACGTCTCGAGTGCCATCTCCAGCTGCTAGGGGTGGACATAAAACTGCAGCCAGGGCTCCTTCTCCCCAACCTCAAGCACCCGTTCATCAATCGCGGACGCGCTCCCCAGCAGCATTCTCTCAGTTTCCGAGCCATGTATCTCGCGCGCCATCTCCAAGTCCAAATCATCATATATCTCGCGCGCCCTCTCCAGCACCCAACCACTATACCTCTCGCGTACCCTCTCCTGCGCCTAACCGCTACATGTCTCGCGCGCCATCCCCTGCACCCAACCACTATACCTCTCGTGGACCGTCTCCTGCGCCTAATCGCTACGTGTCTCGTGCGCCATCCCCTGCACCCAACCACTATACCTCTCGTGCACCTTCTCCTGCACCCAACCACTATAACGATCGTGCACCTTCTCCTGCACCCAACCACTATACCGCTCGTGCACCTTCTCCTGCACCCAACCACTATACTTCTCGCGTACCATCTCCCGCGCCCAACCACTACGAATCTCGCGTGCCATCTCCTTCTCCTAATCATTACACATCTCGTACGCCCTCGCCTAATCCTAATAAATATGGATCTCGTGATCCTTCTCCCGCTCGTTCATTCGGCTACCAAAATCATTCTCGAGGTCCATCACCTGCGCCACAATTCGACAGAGGGACCTCGTCTCCACCCCCGCCTCCACCCCCTCATCGCAACACTTATACTCCGCAAGCATCTAGGGATACTTATGGCAACGCCCCAGACACATATCAGACGCCACTTACAGCATCCCCGTGTCCCCCATCACCGGCCGGCACAGGCCGCACCCCCTCTCCTCTACGAAGCGCAATGGATGATGTAATGCTATCTTTGGCAGATATGGGAGTAGCTCGTGAGCCAGAGAGTCCAGAAGCACCAATCGATCCATGGTCCCCTGAAGCATTTGATCAAACGTATATATCAACGAAACGAGCACCTAGATCTAATACGGCGATTGGAGTTTCTGAAGATTATAATTCTGTAGGAGATGATACATACGCCAGTAATACGCAACCTTATCAACCTACAAATACTCCCCCGCCTCAACTCAGCAATTACGTTCAAAGAATGGAGAATAGATTAAGCAAAATGTATTCCTCAACACCCCGCCCACCTGAGGATGATATTCGGCCAGCGGTCCCACCTAAAGCGAGCTCATATGCCTATGATAGCCGACCAAAATCGTCTGTGAGTGGAAGTGTACCACCGACCAAACTCCGCCATCGAAAATCTGCATACGAAGTTGGAAAATCCATGCTGGGGAGGACTTTTACTACGAAGACCGATAAGACTGACTCAACGAGCTCTTCCTCGGGGACTCGCAGTACTACTACCAATGGGAGCTCGAGCACCCAAATGACGGATAAAAGTCTCATGAGTGGCCCTTCTGCCGGCGGCTTCTCTTCAACTAGTGCCGGAAGTTTAGCCAGGAAGCGAGACTTACTGTATGGACGAGCTCAGAGTGCACTTGGTTCGCGAAAAGACAACTATCTGGGGATAAATAGTAGTCAGCCTGATTTCACCACTGGTCGATCCCAGACACCAATGACCGGTGTTTCGTACCACAGTAGTCACGCTTCGGATCCTTCGCGGATGCAGTCACCAACTGGGTGGCCAGGGTCCGCTGCAGATTCAAATCCTGCACTTGGTGGTCTTATGGCACCTAAAACCAAGAAAAGCGGTTTCTTCAAAAGAATCGTTGAATCCGCAAAAACAGGTGCTGCGAGCGCCAGGAGCAGTATCGCTGTAGGTGAATCTTCTAGACCGCGCGTGCAAGCTCATGGTTCATTCCCGACAGGGGTTGCATCTATTGGGGTTGGTGGCTTTGGAAATACTCCAAACACTAATCCAGCCAATGAAATGGGACCTGGGGGTAGTACCATGGGCGTCGATTGGGTTCAAGTACGGCGAGATATCAACAGATCGAATTCGTTGAGTAGGATTGAGCGGGTTGAAAGAAAGGAGCGATGCCAGATGATGGATTATCCAGCCATAAGTCCTGTGGAAGAGCTCCTTGAGGGGTGTGATGGCGACGAAGGGGTAAACGGTAATCCCGTTGCTGAGCCAACTAATTTCCAAGCAGTAAATCTCAATCTGGTCGATAAGAACACAAGGTTTATCAATTCTCTCCCACCGATGTCTAATCCCATGAGCTTAGCTACGGGCTATGTGTGTCGACCGTATCGAAGCGACATCCAGCGATTACGAGCAATATTCATATGGGTCAGTGAGAAAATTACATGGGAAGAGGGCTTCGATAATGACACTTCCGATTCAAGAAAGGTCATCCAAACCAAGCATGGTTCGTCGGAGGAAGTCGCATTTCTGGTTATGGATATGTGTAAAGCGGTTGGGATTCATGCTGAGGTTATCAGAGGATATCTAAAATCACCAGGTGAAATACCAGATATGGGTCCTATGCCTCGCCCGAATCATTTCTGGAATGGAGTTGTAATTGATGGAGAATGGCGAATGATGGACTGCTCTTTAGCAAGTCCTTCTCATCCTCGAAGGATCCAGTATACTAGTGCCAACAGTCAATACGCGGAACCGTGGTGGTTTTTGGCTCGGCCAATCGAGATCTGCTGGACTCACATTCCGGAACAGCATGTTGATCAACACCTCTGTCCTCCTGTATCACATGAAATCCTTCTAGCTCTACCGTGTGCTTGTCCGGCATTCTTTACCAATGAGATGGAGATGGTGGACTACGATACAAGTCTCATACGTATTGAGGATCTCGAGCTTGTTCACATCAAACTTTCCGTGCCACCCGATGTTGAGTGTGTAGCTGAAGTCGAAGCACGTGCTTTTGAGCGCGATGCAGATGGTGACCTCTTCGAGACTGGTGAAATCATCACGAAGCGTGCTTTAGCACAGGCAGAATGGGTGGGCAGTCAGAAAATGTATACGATCAAGGGTCTACTTCCTGGTGATGAGGGATCAGGCATACTCAAAATTTATGCGGGAAAACGTGGCCTTATGCATAGTATCAAGGATATTCCTCATGCATTGGCACTTGCATTACCCATCATCCACTCGGGTGATAATCCTCCATATGAGTTTCTAACTCGTCATCCAACGCCTCATGCCCAACGCCATGATCTTTATGTCGCCCAACCACAATGCCAACGATTAGCCGTCAACAATACTTTTGTGTTCGCCGTGCGTCAGCATCCGTCCTCATTATCATCAGCATCGCCAGATCCAGGGAGAATCTCACCTATTCCTTTTATACGGCCAAGCTCCGCAATGTCTATAACGAGCTCCTCGGCTTCTGGCTCAGGCACTGGTAAAAAGCCGGCGAAACTCGCAATTCAAGCACCTGGTGGAAAGATCTTAAGATTAATGCGAAAGGAAGAAAGAAACGGAGGTATCACCACGAATCTAGAGGGTGGAGATGGGGGGACATGGGAAACGATAATTAAATGTGGGGAAAGGGGTGTTTGGAGAGGACTGGTCTTAGCCGATCGAAGTGCTAGATGGTGTGTATTTGCCGAATGGACATGTGTCTAAAGACGACCTACCCACTCTCAATCGGAGATGAAATAAGATGAGATGATATGACCAACAGAAAGATTGGAAGGGATGAAATCAGAATGATGAACACAATGCATGCATTTCACGGCCCCTTCGCGTATGTAATGGACGATGTGTAATGAATAATTTGGGTGGGATCTGGTTTGGTCTGGTGGTAATACATGGCGGGTTTCCTTCAATTGGGCGGAATTGTTGGATGGATGGATGGACGGGCATATTGTACAAAAGAGTCGCATTCAAAGGCGTTTTTTGATATCGGGGAGCATGTAGAAGTAATTTGGGGGGACATAGTTGTCACCAAATATGTTACAGCGTGATAGTCTAGATTAGAAATGCTGACTTGCAGTTCTAGCAATACATGCATACAAAATTTATATATCTATAAAAGGTTTGAGATGTTTGAGATGTTGGAAACTTAAAGTAAAGTTAAAAAAGTGAGAAAGTGTGAAAGTGTGAAAGGAGAGAGAAAATTGTAGGAAGGATGTTGATGTTGATGCTGATGTTGAAGTTGAATGGAATACGAGCAAATCAATCAGGTCATACATACACTATATATATGAAGCTTTTTGCTTTTTTTATCATTCGGCTCGTATGATTGTATACTTCACAATCCGAAAATCCATTCGCAGATTGTTGTGTTCGGATATCCCTTACTTACACATACATACTGTTCTTCGGGATTCCCTCAATATCACATCACACCTAGGCCGATCCGAGCCCACCCATCCATTCAAACCCATCCCCTCCCTCAAGACCGAATAGGTAGATAATATAATCCCGCATCCTATCCCCTCTATTTCTTCTTCCTACCCGCCAACCCCCTCTTCTCCACATTCTTCGCCTTCCTAATATTCGCCTTCCTCCACGCCGTCCACCTATCCCTCGGCTTAAACAAGCGCACCTTAACATTCGCCCTCTCAGCCGCCCTACCAATCTCCCAATTCGCCTCTCGATACATGTACCCGGGTCTCAACTGTAAATTCCTACCCTCCTCTCCCTTCCTCTCCTTCTTCTTCTTCTCCTTCTTCGACACCTCCGCACCCACCTCTCCAGATACCAACCCCGTAACCTCCACCTCGACTTCTGTCTCTGGTTCTGGTTCCGGTTCTACGATCTTCACGATTTCCATGCCGAGCCGGCGGCGTCGCACAGTGTTGCGTGGTAAGGGGAGCACTTGTTCGCGCTTGAAGACCACGCCGATGTATTGGCGTTTGGGGTGTCGGTCCGGATCTTTGTAGTATTTTACATAGCCGGGTTGCGTGGCATAGATGGTGTGATCGCGACCCATGTCGCAGTTATCGCCTGGATACCAGTGCGTGCCTCGTTGGCGGAATATTATGTTACCGGGAATTACATATTGTTCTGTATATTATCCTCTGGTTAGTATTTTCAGTTCTCGAGATTTATTGGTATTCAAACGAAGGGAATGCGAGGGGATGAATGAGGAAGAGGAGCAAAAACATACCACCGGATTTCTTAGCTCCCAATCGCTTTCCAGGTCCATCTTTCGCTTTATTTACAGCTCCTTGTGCAGCGTGAGACGCATGGCGAACGGTGATGAGAGGGGCAAGAGGTGTGGAAGATGTTTTCTTGATGGTGAGATTGGTGAGGGCTTCGCAGAGATGAGTTTCTGCTGCCGATGCGGAAGAGGTGCGTGTAATTGATGTTATGGCGCCTCGTAATGAAGGCTGAAGGCGTTGGAGTAACATCTTGGGGATGTATGATTTGGGGTTTGAGAGTTGGTGATAAAATATGAAGCTGGTGATAATTTTACGGGAGCCGGTAGAGGTGGGGTGCGCTGTGATGGGATTTATATTTATATTCAATTGTGAGAATCAATCAGTCAATGATTTTTTCTAGATGATGATGATGATATAAAGTAATCGAAATAGTAGTTTATAATAATCATCTTCCAACTCATAACTTTTTCTTTTCTTTTTAAATGTAAATCTACAAATTTACCTCAATTATGTCATCCCACCACCCTATAGTCCCCCGTAAACATTCCCACCACCTGTCAATATCAAGCTCAAGCTACTCGTACTTCCAATCTACAATCAACCATCACTCTGGGACATTTCCCAACTTCACTTCAGTTCACTTCACCCAACCTCTCATTTCCCATATTCCATCTCCCATTTCACCCCAAACTCAAACCCTCAAACCTCCAAAATGACCAAACTCCTCATTTCCATCTCCTTCCTCCTCCTAATCATCGGCGGCGCATCCGCCCAATTCCAATTCTTCGAACAAATGTTCAACGGGCAACAACAACAACAGCAACAACGTCAACCGCAGGATGTACCTAGTGATTCACAATGGTATCAGGATAATTATGATCGAGGTAATTTTATCCCCCATTCATCCCCTCCCCTTCCCATATCCTCATCCTTCCCTTCCCTTACTTACCCATTTCCTCATCCTCCCCCTTCCCCAAAACCCCCAGCTAACCACCCCTCTAGCACACTGCACGACCTACCTCTGCCCGCAAACCCTTTCCTGCGTCGCCTTCCCACACCACTGTCCCTGTGCACACCCCTTGTACGAAGAAAAATTCGAGTTGGCGGATGGGAATGCGATTTGTATTAGTAAAGGGGGATTTAAAGCTGGGGAGGCGGCGAGGAAGGTTGAGTTGGCCAGGAAGGGGTTGATTTGATTTGTATTTGGGTTTGGGTTTGATATGGGTTTTATTTGGAACATTTGGGGGGGGGGGAAGCGGATACATTAATTTTGAGGGGAGAGAGGGATGGATGTTTGTGAAGTGAAGGGAGTTATGGAGTTATTTTGAATTTTACAACATGTACCCAGAATTGGTGGGGGGGGGGGAGGGGAATGAAGATGAAGATGAAGATGAACAAAGATAGGAGGGATACGATACGATACGATATAGTGAACTATTCCGAACAGTGAGACTCATAGAGGGAAATTCAAAAAATTAAAAGACTGAAGATTGAACAAACATGTAAATAGAGACAAGACGTACGGGCATTTAACACTGAACATGTATTGATATTCTCGAGCATTCATTGACAACTTATCATGACACACAAAGTTCATTTATACTTTTCATTACTACTCGTATATTGCGACTTATAACATCAGCATATTATGTGATAATTCTCATCCGAGTTTATGGGATCACTGTAAAACATAGTATCTATCATACGAGGTAAATGGTTTAAGTGGTATAATATGGTACTTATTTATTCTGCCTCACGCCGATGCAGCATATATTACAATAGCAAATTCTGTGCGCACTGTCCAAAATTGTTCCCCAGCTCCTACAACTCCTAACTCCTAATTTTCCTCTTCAATGTTACATATCCCTACTCCACATCTCCCAACCCGTACAGAATCCGAGGTGAACTAAAAAACTCCACCCAAACCCAAACCAGATCAAACCCATACTTGCTTGCACTAAAAATCAGGGGTAAACTAGTTTTGACGCCAAAACTCCATCTATCCATATTCATCATTTCCATATGGCCAATTCCATTCCAATCATCATTCATTCATCCGTTCATGCTACTCGGTTTCAAAATGTTATACTCGGGTTCTCATAGTATTGTAGAGAAATGTCGGAGTTAAAGGGCCACTATTCTAGTTCCTAAAATGTGAAAATAAAAAAAGTCGTTATAATTTTGCGAGAAGCGAAAACCACCAGGCATCTTCGCATCGGTGGAGATATTATGCTGCCGCGTTGGGCTCAGTTGAAGGAACGGCTTGTGGTCGTGTTCTTATCCGAAAAGTACTTCGGAGTCGACCAGCCAATCTAGCTCTTCTGCCTTGCTCTTCGGTTGCATCTTGGTTTGGCCCAATACCTCCTTGTTGAGATTGCTCGCGCGCCAACTCGCGAAGAGTGGCAATGCTCTCTTCAGGGGGAGCATGACGAAGACGTATGAGACGAGACAGGCGTTGACGAGAGCTTACCTCTCCACTTTCCGAATTACCAGCTGTGTGTTGACTAGTTGCTTCGCCTTCACGTGTATTGAGTGGAGGTGGAAGCTCATCATCTCCGTTCTGGGCATGAGTTGCTGTAGGTCGAAGATCGTGACGACTGTTTATTAAAATTAGTTTGTGATCACAGATAACAAAATAGATAAAACCTACCACAATGGACAAGTTCCCGAAACATTCAATAACCAAGGATCTATGCAAGCAGGATGGTACTTGTGATGACATGGAAGGACTCGAACGTCTTCACCCGTAGCAAAATCTTCTGTACAAATCGAACATTGTAGAAGCTCCCCCTCCTTGGGAGCTGCTGAGGCCTCGTTGACTTCGGAAGTAGGCTGTGCTTCTGATCCCATCCCTGAGTGTACAGTAGTGCCAACGAATGCCGCAGCACCAGGAGGTTTAGGGGTGTCATCGACCTTAGAATTGGTTGCAGTGGCAACAGGATCATGATGAACACTGCCATTCTCCAATTCGATATCACCACTCCCTGGTTTTACCGGTTCTGGGTCCCCAAATTTCACAATAGGTAAAGTTTCCAACATAGCTCGCGCAAGACCCTTTGCTCGACTCTGTCTTGGCCTTCCTGGAAAAGCGGTTCGGGGTCCATACCTTTCCGGATGTCGATGGGCACGGATGGCACCCGTCCCTATAATTATCAAGAATAGCAAGGTGATTATTCCAGTGATACTGTATAAAATGCTCATGGCAACTGCTGTTGTTGGTGGAGGTCCTCCATTATTGCTCGTTTGCGATCCTGAACTTGAGGAGCTTGAACTCTGGTTGGAATCAATCGATGCAGCTAATAATGAGCCAGGAGTGAAGTCTTGTAAAGTTTTAAGCAAATCCATTGAATCCGAGGCAGATACCATTGTGTAAATCGATCCATAGCTAGATTCCCCGCTGCTGACTATGCACTCTTGAGAATACAAGCTATACAAAAGTATAGCTTTTGGCCTCGCGTTTCCTGCCATGATAATAGCAGCTGTTGAATCGATGTTAGAGGTCTCGTTCGGATCGCAACTCATGTATGCTATATCGCCTCTCGATAAATTACTCGCAGAAGTTGCATCTGTGAGTGTGATGTTTGCCGGAGTGATATGAAGTGTCTATTCATGCTATGTTAGCCGTTTACTCCCAGTTTATATATAACTGCTGAAAGTGAATTCCATACAGTCAAAGAATTGGTGTCTTGTCCAGCGCCTGCCGATGAAGTGAGCGGGGCGATGTTGTACATATCGTGGGTCAATACGAAATCAGTTCCGGATGTCAAAGTCAATTCAATATCAGGAGCAGTCATTGAAGCCGGTAAAGTAATATTCGAGGGCGTGAAAGAAGCCGTGGAAGTCTGACCAGCGACTAAAGCGACGAAGAACATGAGGGTCGATAAGCATTTCGACATGCTCCCTCCGTTATCCGATAAAAACATGATTGAAGTGTGTGTTGGGATTGAGGAAATTAGAAAAACAGAACAGAGTAAGAAGAAAAGAAACGGAAAGTCGTATAAAATAACAGTTCCTCACTCTCAGAGTTCACATATCCATTAACTTGAGAAGGCGAAAAGAAATAGTTAGTAGTGAGTAGTGAGTGGTGAGTGGTCTTAATAAGGTGAAGAAGTGAAACTCTCTTCTTGGCGGAAACTGTTTTGGAGATGGGATGGTTGTAATCAGATTTAATATGGTTAGCGTTGGGTATCGGCAATGTAAATCTCCGTGCGTTGTTATAAAACTGGAAATATGGATCACTCTGCGGGGCTTTTTCTTTGTCTTGTTCTTTGAATTTCCTCTCTTTGCTGCACTGTGACGATAGAGCGATAAAAGTACAGTTAAATTATATTGGGCGGGGAGGAGGGGAATAAGGATAATTTGTAAGTACCGTCTGTAGTCGTCCGGTATGAAAGAAAAATCAAAGAATGTGGAGAAAGTGTGTACTATTAGCAGATGATTATATAGTTTTCTTAATAATTTCAAAAGGTTTTGATTACTGTACTATACATATATGAAGACAACCGACAAATAGATATCAAGATTTTGAAGATGATTTGATGGGTGGGACAAAGAAATAAATACAAATAATTATTTCCTCCGTTTTATGGACCTCAATCCTTACATAATCTTTGACAAAATGACATCCCTTTCTTTTATCTCCTTCTTATTCGGCAATATCGGTAAATCCATCAATTCTTTTGCTACTAGAGCACCAATTAATTGAATACTATCGGTTAATGATGAAACCAATACATGTATTCTTCAAAACACAAAACGTTATGCATTATCGATAAAGAAAACTGTTTAATATTTCTTTTTCTTTTCATCAAGCAAGACAGCCCAGCTAGAGCCAAGGTTATTAAATGTGGTTGTTATCCAATTGTATCGCTTATTGCCCTTTTCTTGGAGGTCTTGGGAAGATCATCATTAGTTCCATTCCTTTCAGTACTCCTTCGACTTCTCTTTTCTTTTCCTTTTCTCCTAACTCTAGGACACAGCCATGTCATATATAAGCTCTCCTTATCTTTATTTGCATTAACTCAGCCCCCTTAAATCCTCTAATCATATGTTTACGACTCAAACTCAACGGGCAAACCCCAATAATGTCGTATTGTGAATGATACCCATGGCATATATATTGTCACGGCTCTTTCGGATCTCTATTTTTCGGGTTCCTCGGATTCTTCTTTTCTCCGCTTAATTCTTTCCTAAAGGCTTAGAATCAGATATGAAAGTTCGCAGCTTGCCTTGTTTATCTATTGTCCTCGATTGCATCAATACCAATTGGTCCTAGTGTTCTTGAGCTTTTCTTTGACCTTTTCTTGATTCCTTTGCTTATCGCCCTCAAGAAATGAACCTGGAATTATTTGAATCCACTGCTGCATGCGGTACGGGAGCCTTTATATGAAAGTTCGTCTGGGGTAGCGCAAACTCTATTCCCCGCGAATTCCCAAGGGGGGGGGTGGGTGGTCACGTGTCAAGGATAAACATCAAGACTCAGAAAGCATCCTTGAATAAAAAAATTCTAATGAAGTTGAATGTCGTTGTCGTTGTCGTTGTCGTCGCTCTCTCTCTCTCTCTCTCGCCTCCAACCATCCAAACATTCAAAAAGTCTTCACCTAACATGCATAGCCACGTACCGTATAGTATAAAACGAATATGATTATAATTTAAAAGTTCCTACCCTACTGACCTCACTTATAAAAGGAAAGAAAAGGCGAGACAAGACAAGAATGTAATTGTGTGAAGGATGGAGTTGTAACTTGCATACTTGCATAATTAATAATTGATGGCCATAGTGCGTTAACCTGGGGACTTGGGTATAGCATACTTACTACCTACGGAGGTATCTTCTATCTCATGATTTGTTTTTTACAGTAGGGTCGTGCGAAGTATTGTAGAAACTTTGAAGGCGTGTTGTGGATTTTGAGATATACTACGCTATGCTATGCTATGCTATGCTGTGCTATCTTGATGATTTCTTTACTGGGTATTGTAGTATTGTATAGAGTCTGAATATAACGTTTCGAGATACTCGTATTGATATTGATATTGATATTGATGTTGATGTCTTGAGGAAGGCGATGAAAATAAACTGTAATACTCGAGTACAATTTGAAAACATTAATAACAAGCTTCTATTGCAATTGCTGCGGTACTATTTGTACATATGCATATGCATATGTATGAAGTAAGGTAAGATCAGTTGTTGAAATGTAAGATTAATTGAGTACCTATCTACTCGAGTACTCATAGGGTAATTACTCGAGTAGAGGTCCAAGATGAAAACTTGCAAACTTGGGATTGTTAGTTTGAATATGTAGTTACCAAATTTGAAAATAATCCAGCTCAAGCTCAAGCTCATCTCATCTAATCTAATCTTGCAAATCAAGCCTTCCCATTCAAAGCACTCATCTCATCAAAAACATCCGACTCAATATCCTCGCTATATTTCAACCCCCCCTGCCTCCTAACCTCATCCATAACCTCCATGATGACCTCACTCTCCCTCCAATCCAACCCCTCACTCTCCTTCTTCCCATCCCTCAAACATCTCCCCACTTCATCCGCCTCCCACGCCATCCCATGCCCCCAATTCCCCCTCTCTGGATCCTGCGGAATTGCACAATCCACCGCCTTAAAATCCCCAGCCTTATTTGCATTTTTAAAGACGCTATATCTCAACGGTCTATACGCCGGTCCAAAAACCTGAATTTCTCCCTTCGTCCCCTGGATCCTAATACTAGGTGCTTCATCCTGACTCGCCTCATCATGCGCATCCGGTTGCGTCGCAACTTTCATTCCCGTCGTCGCAATCCCCATGCTCTTATTCTTGGGAAATTGCAAAAGAATACTTGTCTGTTCATCCACCCCCGTCTTCTCATATTTCTGCACCGCGGCAAGAACACGGGGGGTTTCGCGCTCAGAGGAGGAACAGGGTTGGCAATGGTACAGGATTTGGAAAACCCAGGTCAGAGCATATATACCGAGATCGAGGAGGGCACCTCCTGCTAAAGCCGGATTCACCATGCGGTTCTCGGGGGAAAAGGTGAGAGAGCCATCTTCGTTCGCTTCGGGGAGTGAGAGATCGGCAAATACTCGATGCACTTCTCCTATTTCCTTGTTTTTGACCATTTCTCGAATCTGTATACTTAGTGGGAAATAGCGCGTCCACACCGCTTCCATGAAAAACAGATTCTTCTCTTGAGCTGTCGCGAATAGTTTACGAGCTTGCGCGGTGTTCACCGTGAGGGCTTTTTCGCAAAGAACATGTTTGTTGGCGCGGAGTGCTAACATGGCGTTTTGAAAATGGTGGGAATGAGGGGTGGCGATGTAGATTACGTCGATATTGGGGTCATTGACTAGTTCATGGTATGAACCGTAGGCTTTGACACCAGGAGGGGCTTTGATTTCCTTGAGGAATGTCTCGGCGCGGGAGGCGGAGGAGGAGGATGCAACTGCTATGATGGTGTGCTGAATGTCATGGACATTACGGGTGGCGGGGTTGCAGAGGATGTCTTTACAGAAGGCTGGAAGGTGTTAGTATGTAGGTTCTTAGGGTTGGGGAGGATGTTAATGGATGACTTACTGGTTGCAATGCCTCCTGTTGCTAAGATACCCCATTTTACTTCATATGGTTTGGATGCCATTGTGTTTGTTTGTATGACTATTGATTTGTGATGAAAGATGATTGACGAAAGATAAATGATGAACTGGAGAGACAATTATATAAACTGGGAAAGAATTTTGTTAGGAGTCCAGCTGATATATGTGAGCTTAATAAGATAAATGGTGCTCATACATCTACTCGTACTCCGTGTACCCAGCCAAGATCAACTTGAGCTCACCCCCACCATGAACCCCCACCTGATGGGATATCATCGGAGTTACTATTTTAGGAAGTCCGATAGGTCTGATCATTCAAGATTTCGGATTTCTTCAATCCAAAAAAATAAACAATTATTAGTCGCACTCCCAGTTTAACATATCGAAATCCACCCACCATCATTCTTTTGCCATTCGACTCACAATACTGATGCTTACCAATCCTCGAAGCCCTTCACTCTTGATCTTTCAAGCTGGTCTTCGGCAATACAGAAGAACAAGATGTATCAAAATGCCATGCCACCTTAAACAGATCACGAGACTAGCCTCCACCACAAAGCTATCCAGTATCCTCGAGCCCACTATCCTAAACATCGGCACCCCCTCCCAAGTATCCATTCCTCGTCTCATCTACAGCACGGCATGGAAAGGTGAAAAAACCAATATACTGGTTTATCAAGCTATCAAAATGGGATATAGGGGTATAGAAACCGGAGCTGAACCTCTTAAGTATGAGGAAAAACTTGTGGGTGATGGGATTAGGAAGGCAATCAATGAGGGTTTTGTAGAGAGGAAGGATCTTTATGTATGAGACAATTTTTGTATTGCGTTGCAAGTTTTTGAAAAACTTTTCTTATTTTTCATCATATTATATGAGATGTGAAAATGAAGTCTAACGAATCCTCAAGATCCAAACAACATTTACATCACCCGAAGGACAAGGTTTCCATTCGGTTCAGAAAAATGAACGAGGGGATGGTATCTTGGAAAATGTGATGAAAAAAATGCCATATTCAGTCTCTGCACCCATATCCCAACAAATCCACGACTCGATTGCTTCATCGCTTCAAAATCTCAAGGCATCGAGATCTGAGAAAGATCCATACATTGATTGTGTCGTTTTCCTTTCACCACATTCTACGAGAGAAGAATATAAAAAATCGTGGGATATTCTGTCGATTTATGTTCCGCATCCTATCAGAAGCTTGGGGGTTGCGAGGAGGTCTGGAACGAAGGGGATTGGTGGGGATGACTCTATTAGCGATCGCATCCCTGGAAATAAGAAAAGCATCGTTCCATCGGTATATATGAACCGCTATATAAATCATCGCGAAAAAGACATCGGTTTCGGTTTACGTCATCACTCAGAACGGGACATGGTCTTCCAGTCCTTTTGGGAAAAAGACTCTATGACAAACATAGTCACCAACCCATTAATGCTCGAGGTTCGTTCCATTTTGAAGGAACTTGGTTACCAAGAAGAGAATTCTGGGAAGTTGGGAAAGTACGCGCTACTGTTGGCAATGAGATTACGAGAGTTTGCGATATTAGATACGAGCACGAATATCAGGAAAATGGAGTATATTATGCAGGCGCTCAAGGCTTTGGAGAGGTGGAGAAAGGGGGAAGATAGAGAGACGTGCGGGGCAGGGGAGGAGCTTAAAAAGAGGTGGGAGAGGGTGGAGATAGAGGCGAAGATGTACTTTCAATTCAATGAGTTGCAGTGCAAAGAAGAGAGTGTCTGGGTGGATGAGAGGCGGCGGCAAGACGGGGATCTCAACGTAGTAGCCGAATCAGCCCTTGACTCGGCCAACATATACTCACCAATACGTTCAATATGGCCTCCCACCAGCTCTCTGCAAGGAAGTGAAGATGTCGCAATCGTTAAAAGCAAGTCGAGAGACATGCTTCGTTGGACGCAGGGAGGTCATGAGTTGGATGGGCAGACTACACTTCAGGACACAGACGAGCAGGAGCATGGCGTGAAAAAAATAGAGGATACAGATGCAGAGTATCTCCGCGTAGATAAGAACAAGGCTCGGCATCGACGTCATATGTCTGAAAGAAAAGATTTGTTACATCAAGGGTATAGTCCTTCGTTTATCGTGGAGAAGATTAAGGAGCAGAGGCTACAGGGGAAGGAGGCGAGGTTGAAGATTCGCTTGAAGAAGTTGAATAGAGGTAGGAAGTAGGGTTTTTTCGTGGAGAGGATCAAGGATTAAGAGCAGAGACTACAGGGGAAGGAGGCGAGGTTGAGGATTCGCTTGAAGAAGTTAAATAGAGGTAGGAAGTAGGGATGGATGGTTGAGGGTTGAGGAGGTATTGGTAGGGGAGGGAGTGGGGGACAGATGGGATGGGGATGAGATGGGGAAAGCTAGGTAATTGGTTTATTTACTGCATGGCGATATCATGCTTTACATCACATTACATTTCAATAATACCCCTTCAAGTATCTTATATTTCTTCTCTGAATCAATACTTCGTTCATACTATACTCGAGTACGTGGATTTTGATATTCAAATGGCTTTTTCTATGTTTTTGAGCATAACTTCATCTATGTTGATAAACTTTGATGTCTTGTCTCTGGCTTTATGTGGGTAAAAAGAGGAGAAGAAAAGGGAAACGAAGAAAAAAGAGAGAAAGAAGGAAATGAGGAGAGAAGAAAGGGTGGGGGATAATGTGAGAATATGGAAATTCAAGACTACTTTGGAGTTATGATAATATAACACAAGATAACATAACATACAGTACTAGAGTACGAAAATATAAAGATGGAAAGATGGAAAGGGGAAATTTAAATTTTATTAGGATAAGATAGGTGAGATGAGATGAATAGGATTTGGGTTTTGGGGAGAACTTGGAAGGGAGAGGAGCAGAGGAGGATAGTGAGAGTGTAGAAGTAGAGTTATAGGGACTACGGGGAGGGAGGGAGGAGGAGAGAGGAGAGAGAGAGAGAGAGGAAAGGTGGATTACAGTAAATGGATATATATAGATTAAGTAGATGGTCATAGTAGTATTTATACTCAGTGTTAGTATTGACATCTGTATTTATATCAATAATAATAATTATTTAATTAAAGGATTTTGAATTTTGAACTAATATTAGATTCTTATTTCTAATATCTCATGGATGTTCTTATATCTCATCGATATTTATATCTAATATCCAAATACAATATCAATACCAACACCAACGGTCCAATACCAATACCAATACCAATACCAGTTCCAAAGGAAATTGACAGGAAAAATAGTTCCCAAATACGAGTAATAGAAAGATAAGATTTATAAGAAAAATACAGGGAAATAGAATAGAACAGAATAAAATAAAATACAGAAAGGAAGAATAAAGAAAGAAGGATGACTCGGAGGAAATTGGATATATAAATGTAGGGTTGTGAATAATTTTAATTTGTAGAGTAGTATTTGGTATTTAGTATTTAGTATTCAGAAGTCGGTATTCAGAAGTCAGTACTCAGTAGTAAGATATGGGAAGGGATATAGGAAGGGATAAAGTAAGGGTTAGAAGATGGAAAGGGTTAGGTGATGGGTGATGAGAATGAAAAGTCAATAAGGTTAGTTGGTAGTTGGCTATATATACGAGGTTGAGAAGGGATGGGGAGATGAGGATAGTAATTTCATGTAGAATATTATGTTATGTGGATTACTCCAAAATCTATGTGTCTCAAGAAAATGCAAAGGTTTAATTTAATGTGAAATGTGAAATGCATAGCTGCAAAAGGTATGGTATTTAGACTAGATCATTTTACAATAGTTGTAATTGCATTGCAAGTAATAACCAACATCCTTTACATCTCCTCCATATCCTCCAGATCATCCAAGACAGGAAATTCTCCCACGGTAATTCTCTCCGGTCTAACAATGACTCCGAATTTTCCATCGCCTTCTTGACCCCAATAACGCTTTCCACCTATACTACCATCATTCTTTCCGACAGGTTCATCCAATTTAACGCCAATCCATTTCCCTGCTCCACCAGGAATTTCCTCCACGTCACCTACGTACATGACTTCACCTCTTCGGGAATCATCTTCTCCGACTCGACATCGCTTTCCTACTGAGATACCTTTCTCTTGAATCTCGTTATCGTAGACGGCGAGTTTGGCATCGAGAAGAGTCGGAGCATCGGGGTTGAATCGTCCGAGCCTTTCATTCCTTTTCCAGGCAAGAACACTGTCGGATCGTTTCTCGTAGGATTCTACAGGGAGGGTGTATTTATCGACTGCAGAGACATCGGTGTAATTTTCACGGAGGCCAGGGGGGCGGGTGTCGGTCACCTGGGAGAGATTGGGTTAGTATTCTTTGTATTAACCAAGCTTAATTGGCGGAAGTCGCGGTGTAAAAATTTGTTGGGACAACCCGGTGGAAAAGACTTAATATAGATACGTGTCCTCGATGGAGTGTTGCCACACTTAACAATGGAGAACAGTAGGTATGTGCTTGCAAATATCGAGTGCTAATTTAGATATCAAATACAGCACACCGTGACTCAGAGTGAGACCAACGATAATGCAATGGTATATCCACTTGGTTGTAGCTCAGACGTCGACAAATAGTTCATGGACAACGAACAAATTTTGACATGTCCGTGACAAAAGATATCCACTCGAGGTAAGATGGAACACTTGGCCTAGCTATAGGGCAGCAAAACTAACCCACGCAAAGTAATATCGACGAGTTGAGTGGGCTATAATTTTAGATGTATCATCGTCTCAATGGCATAGAGACCATGGAACGAACTATTGGGGTAACCCGGCACACATCGGCTTCGGCATGAACTATCATATAATGCAGAAATGCCAAACTTGTCTAGTCGCGACGCGATACTCAAGATCAAGTCTCGTATCTAGTAAACCAAAAAAAAAACATCTGTGGGATCAAGTGGACAGACAGCCTTGCAGAATGATAAGGTCTTAGAGTCCCACGACATGTTTCGCGTTACGAAGCTAAAGAAATTCCCGAACTCACGTGAATAACGGCGTGTGGTGCCAATGGAAAGTTTGTCAATTGTGTTGTCTCTTCATCCAGAGCTTGAATGTCGACGGATTGTTGATTGTTGATCCATAAGGTCAGTTTTTGATCCAAAGCAGGAATACCGGTCACGGGTACGAGTTTGGATTTCAGTTGACCAATCGACCAAGATGGAGTAATTCGTCTCTCTGATCCAGAATTCTCTGATTTAACGATCATGGGAATATCCCCTGCTGTTTGCATACTCATGGGTTGTTGGAGGAAAATGTTAAGGGCGGTAAGGATGGTAAGGCGTTACAGATGAGGCTTCTAATTGTTGAAATTTTCCAATGTAAGGTGTACGGAGTAAGGTGATAAAAGTAGGAAGAAGTTGTTGTTACACAATTAAAATATGATCTTCCAATGGGATTTCCTTATCGATAAAGGCTGATACTGATAAGATCTTGAAATAGATTAACTTGTACTTGAGTTATATCCCAGTTGACGGATCTTACCAGGTTCTGTTTGAAGGCGGGATGGGCTTTGTGGAAGATTGATGGGAACGACTCAACTACCGTTTCTCGTATATATCGATTTCTCGTATTATACCGGTATCCGATGAGAAAGATTCGATGGATGAGAGGTAAGGTAGGTAGGTAGGTAGGTAGGACCTGGTAGGTGTCACTGATATCTACGAGAAGGATGAGAAATCTTGAGATTGAGGCAATTGATCCATTCATTCACTCATTCATTCATTCATTCAGTTAAGTTGTTGCTCGACCCATAATTGATTGATAAGTGTTTATTCATATTCACCAGCCACATACACACAATTAATTTACCAGCCACAATTCTTCACTAACCCCTGTTTCAAGTGACAATTCGATCCTGATTAGGACGGCGGCATTGGTGGCATGGTGGTACAGTACATGAACAGGAAATGAGGAACGTACAGAGTAAACTCAGTACGGAGTATACTCTCTACATGCATTGTCCAGGCTGAATACACCATCAAGAAGCCTTGAGGAAGTTAGACACAATGGAAACACCTGCTCACCTGGTATTTTATTTCACTTGCTTGGTATCAGATACCGATAGTCATTTCTTTTCTTCCTCTACTCTACTTCTTCTTCTTCCAAACTTATTTACAGTACCTTCACTAACCATGAAATTGTCATCTCCTTTTGAAGGTTCATCCATCAATCCATCAATTTATCCATCTTCAATCTTTCAAGCCTTCTCCCTTAATAGATCCTGGCACTTTCTTCATCAATGCTTTAGAAGTCTCAAGAACCGCGAGCTGCCATGGATCGCTGGATTAATATAATTATACAGTATGACAAGGCGAAGTCTCTGATCCAATTATGGATTTACTTGTCGCAAGGCCCAAACATGATGAAAGAGTAAAAGGGGAATCAGGAGAAGATCTCTAACAACTCTTGTCCCAATTGGCTAACTTTCGTTTGTAGACTGACTTATTGAATTGCTGATCCATACTAAAGTTCACTCCATTGGACAAATCCAGAAAAGGATACGGGAACTCAGCATGAATATAATTTTGGATCATTGAATGAGAGGCCATCCTCGAACTTCTCTTCGGCGCAATTTTTCTTCAAAAGTTGCTATAGTTAGTGCTCTTCTTCTTCTTCTCTGGGACTGCATAGCATAACTACACCGCTCAAACAGACATGGGTTGGGTTTCCTGAGACGAGCTCTTCTCCATAGCCCTGCCATGTATGCGCCACTTACCGAAGTGCCACGCGACTTGCATCTTTGAATACCAAGACAGTCAAGCTACTGTAGCAGTGTAGCTGATAGTTGACTTGACCTTGAGTTTGAGTTTGGTTCACAAGATCTTCCCCCACAATGATCGGAGTATATTTGATTCGGGACGAGGAGTGATAAACATGATAGCTACATTAATATTAGGCTTCTCGTTTTGGAAAATATACACCGACGGCTAGAGAACTCATGATGAGATCATGCTTTCAAGGCATAATGTCGGCGGGCAGACCGAACCACGCTTAAACCCACCTATTCTCGTGCATGACATAGGCATATACTGGCTTTGAGAGCCGCCTTACTCAGAGTTCTATGAATGCAGAATGCTGCTTTCACACATCAATGACCATTGTAAATGAAAGCAAACGGGCACAGATACATGACGGATATCCGCAGATATGTATCCTTCCTGAGACACCGCAATCAACAATGACAGCACAGCTGTGCTATTGTTGTCAAAAGTTGCTAGCATACTAATGCACGCAATTGACCAGGCTTGCTTGAGGCGCTATCTCCAAGGCCGTGCGACAGCAATAATTCGGTACTCTCGTCTGATCTGACAGCTAAAAGCGTATACTGGGCATTCACCGCCCCCATCCTCCCGGATGAGATCTATCAGGGCTGAATTCGAACTGCAGAAAGCTTTGATTGAGCGCTCTCGCCGTGAATCCGTGATGTACGGTGTATGCCATTTGGGGTGTTACTGTATATAGTCGTTTAGGCTTTGGGCTGTGCACATGGATACCAAGTTTCCGAACATTCTGAAAAAAGCTTTACTGACTCAAACCATCTACACGATTATGGCGCCGTCTCACATGACGATACGAATTTACACCGCCAGATGTAGGGTTCCGAAGGCTCTGTTGAAAGAAAGACTGGGTATGCAACTGTGCCCATTGTAAAGGCTACCGACAGATACAAACGGGGAATTGAACAGCGCAACACATTTCTTTCTGTTTGGGCATCAAGGGTTTATACTTTGGATGAGGCACAACTCGACCTAAACGGTCGCGTAGGGTTTGTTTTCAGCCACCAGCGACCCAAATGAAGGGGAAATCATTGTATGTGGCTTGATAACTTTCTTCGGCTTGCAATTGCTTGCCCCACAGAAGATCGTGGTTCATCGAGGGACTTAGAGACGCTGCGAGCCATGAAGATCATACATCATGATCCTTGATTCAAAGTTGTCACTACCCCTGCAAAATCAGACCGCCAATTCCCTCGTCGTCTCAGAGACGTCAATCTCAGATCTACAATGTTTGGTCATTGAGGCGGCGACAAGTAGTCGATATCAAATCATGAACATTCTCATTCTTGTGGAATTCAAAATCTTCATCTTGATCTACAAACTCGGCGAACCTGCAGATAATTATTACAATCAAATTGGATCAAATTACGCACAGACATGTGTCTAAAACAACTTCGAGGAGTTGAAGGAGCATAAATCAGTTTCAAGCGTTAGTTTCCAAGTTTCAACTGTTCTTTTATGACTTCTCAAGTTCTCAACAATCGAAATGCAACAATTCTAGAAGGCATTATTGTTGCTCACGTTCATGTTCATGCATGAAGTCGTGGCCGGTATTCCTCCACACTAGCATATACCCTGGTTAGACCCCCACCATGACCTCTATTTGCATCGCATGGCTCCCGACAGTCCGTCCAGCACTCAACCTAGTCATTTCTTGCGGGGATCAATGAGTTCGAACAATGCCCTTGTCTTTAACAAGATCATCAGCAAACGTATTTTCCCACTGGCCTTGGCTTCTATTCTTTTCCCTCTCCATCTCAAAACTACCGCGATTGGCTACATCAATGGTGCAATCAGGTTTATGGCCATTACGATATACGCGAGCCACGCATCACCCTTTGCTTCGAAGGCCTGAAATAGGATCGTAGTCCTCTTGTCAGAAGTGGTTCAAATCGTCTCAAGATAGTCCTTACCGAACAATCCAAGCCCATCACGCCTTGAAGAATAATCTAGCCGGTTTCACGCCACTACATTCATTACTCATCTAGCAAGAGAGTCGATTGTTTCTTTTGACTTTTTATCTTTCGAATAACAAACTTCTTTTCTCCAAATATCCAGAAAATCTTTTGTTGATAACTTCAAGGTTAGCTAGGCTTTGTGTATGAATTTGATGATCTACGAATCGAAAATCAAAACAGAAACAAACCGTGCACTCTTTCTTCGCAGATCATCCGTCGACCTTGACGGTGTCAGGGACTTCACCATCACCGTGGATATCTCCTTCCTCCTCAAGGGCCCGGACTCTAATGAGTCCCCGACCACATCACCACCCGACAGAAACCAAACAAGATCTACATCCGTTCAATCGTCAGTCCTACAACCTGAACTACCAACCTACGCTGCTGCGATACCTGGCGCTGGCGGAAAAAGAAGTATGGGTACCCATCCAGCAGAATCTCCAGCTAAGAAGCAGAGTAAATGGTCGGCCGAGGAGGATGCTTTGATTATTGAACTCAGAGGCAGTGGGATGAAGTGGGAGGACATTTCAAAGAGATTACCGGGTCGGAGTGCTATTAGTTGTCGATTGCATTATCAAAACTATCTGGAACGTAGGAGTGAATGGGACGAGGAACGCAAGAACAAGCTCGCTAGACTCTACGAAAGGTATTACTTCTTCCAATGTTGGGCTCAAGTAAGAATGTTATTAACCTCGCTATCTAGATTTAAACAAGAGATGTGGTCAAAAGTAGCCGAGGAGATGGCAGTACCATGGCGAGCAGCAGAAGCTATGCATTGGCAACTAGGTGAAAATGACATGGCAAGACGTGCAGGTGTTGTTCCGTTCTCGCTATCCAGCGTAACCCTCGATGCACCATCGTCCGGTCCACGAGCTTCACCAGCAAGAGGACATTCCTACAGTCAATCAACATCTAGCACCATGGGCCCAGGATCTGCAGGCTCGAGATACAGCAGACCCGGAACAGCACAAGGCAACCCAAATCTACGAGGGGGCACTCGCACCATCGCCGCCCGGCGAGAAAGCACTCCTAGATCCGTACCGCCCAGCAGCCCATGTGACGGTTTAGCATTGGCTGCTATAGGAGGTGGAATGGGTATGATGGGGGCGGGCAGAGGCGGTCAATATCTACCAAGCCTGGTCGAAATGACTACCGGCGTCAGCCCGTATAGCACACCTGCGTATGCAATGTCGATGCCGGCGCACTCGAGTGGATATTCGACTGGCTACCCAAGTCCAGGCCCACTGTTACCCGCGATTGGCATGCTGGATCACCGACCAGAAGTCAAGCGTAGAGGCAGTCCCGAAGCCGGCTCCAGAGACTCGACTAGGAGAAGACAGTGAATGGAATGGAATGGGAATGGGAATGGGAATGGGAATGGGAACGGGAATGGGAATGGGAATGGGAGTGGGAATGGGAATGGGAGTGGGAATGGGAATGGGAATGCTATGACAATCGTGTTTTATTTATGTGGAATGTGCATGGAGATACGTGTGTAAATGCGATTGGAGTTGGGGGAAAAAGTTGATTCTATTTTTGGGAGGCTTCGAAGGTCAAACCACGGCACGGGTGGTGGGAGAGCATATGTGGGAAGGTGGGTGGGCTTTGCATTTTGGGATGGCGCGATGATTTCAAATGAGACCCCTCCCTTGGGCTGTTTAGGGTTTGGATGGATTGGAATGAGATGGAATGAGATGAGATGAGATGAGATGGGGTAGCGTTAGCACGGATTGCTTGTAGGCACGCATGGTGCTCAGAAATATACCTTCTAGGTTGTATTATGATGTTTGTACCCTTTTGTATTCTTAATAATTGCCTTTATGATTGATGTATGTGCGTATGTATGTATGTTTCTTACACACACAGAGAGACTTCTAGATCTAAATTTCTCGGCATGTCCTTTGAATATTGCAGGACCAGCAGGTAGCGGTAGCAAGTAAGGTCTTTGTAACGTAACACAGTAGAAACTACCTACTTGATTCCTTGGCTGGCGTCTTAGAAGAAGCGGTTGTGGACCAACCCAACCGGTCGATCTTGTACTACATGACAGTACAGAACTTCCGACTCGGGTCCTGACACATGCTTCATGGCTAGATCGGCGTCGATGGGTACTCGAGTTGTAGATATTGCATATCATATCTGCACCATGACGCATCAGTCAGCACATACTACTCGAGTACAGACGTATAGTCATATCGGGCTGGGGACGGGACCAAGCCGATATCTCTCGCCGATCTCCCGTATGCATGGGTTCATCCACTCGCACCCCCCCGCGAACAAATAGCCCACCAATTATCCTTCTCGTAGCCACTCTCTACCACCACACCCCCCACGGCTTTAATATCCTCCTCGAGTTCGCCGGCCCGATACAAATGGTAGTAGCGCTGGAATGTCTGCTCCGATGCCGGTGTCTCGATACTTCCATCCGAGGCCAGCTTTTTGCCAGTCCGCATTACCCAGGGTACCATGACGTCTTGCGGGTTATTACTGTCCCAGCCGCGACGGGAGGAGGATTGCTCGAGCGCCCAGACGTAAATTAGTGCTTTTCCCGAGGGGGAGGAGAGGGTGGAGAGGAGGGAGGATACGGCTTCGCGGCGGCGGGCGGGGGTGGAGAGGTGGTGGATTACGGCGATGCTGATTGTGAAGTCGAATTTGGATTCCGGATGCGGAAGGGCTAGGGTGTCGGCTACGATGGCGGAGTGTGGTTGGTGAGCGCTGGCTATTTTGGCGAGGTTTGTAGAGCGGTCGGAACCGATGATGAAGACGTCGGGGTTGACGAGTAAGTATTTCCCGTTGCCGCAGCCGACGTCTAGACCTATGGAGCCAGGCGCTAGGCTTTGGAGAAAGGATTTCACGATGGGCCAGGCTTTGTAGCGGGTGGAGGAAAAGTGTGACGCGATTTGTTCGTAGACGGCGTGGACGTTCTGTTCTTCGTAATTCTCGGGAACCGCTGGTGGAGTTGTTATGGGGGTTGATTCGGGGGCAGAGGCAATTTTGGGAGTTTTGGAGGGGGTTTCTTCTGGTGCTGGTGGTTGAGGTGTTGCCATGATTTTGGGAGAAGGGGGGGAGTGGGGGTAATTGGTCTCGTGACTGGAATCGGAATTCAATTTTGGTGGTTGATGTTGTGGAACGTCCCCAGATGTGTGGTGGTGTGTTTATCTCCAGGCTGGGCTCAATAGTGATGAGAAGTGACGAGTAATCTAGGTATGTATTGTGATTCTCCTTATAGGTGAAGGAGTATGAGAGACAGTTTTTTTTTTTTAAAATTTCTTTTCTCGTTGTGAATGCTGATGAGTTAACAAAAGAGAGTTGAGAGGTTATTTTAAGGTTTTAGTGACTCTACTCAAGCGCTGCTGTTTGAGACAAGGTCTTAGAATGATGAATGTTACTGTGATTGTTTTTGGTACTTGCAGCGGGGAAAAGCAATCATCCAATGTGGGATGGTGGGATGTTAGGATAGATCAGATAAGGCATTTTCATCAAATCATCTTTGCTCCAAGCTCCGGGTTTCGGGATCCCGGAGAAAGCGGCCGCTAGTGCACAGATCAGATCTCATATGGTTAATGACTTTTAACTGGGTAAATTCAAAGTCTAGCGTATATATATTGACCCACTACAAAATTCTGACACTTTAATTGGATATTTAAGCGAAGACTTCAACGGCGACTGGTGAGCACACAAAATATAGTCAATGCACTTTTTAAAGAAAAAAAAATACCATTTCATGATTATCAGACTTCAATTCGACCACGTCTTGGTGATAATGAGGATGCAAATACAACGATACATATAATTGTGTTGTGATCAAATTAATCACAAAAACTGCGAGCAGTGAATCTAATCGACTACAAACAAATATCTCAACGCAAACGATCTCAATCGCGATTGCCCCCCGAACAATTTATACCTTCCTGGTCCCGGACTCGATGTACAACTAGAAAATCAACGGTTTAGAAGCATCGATTGAGTTCTCGCGGGAACATACAATCCTCTTAGAATATATACCGGTTTTATTACGAATCACTACGAAGTTGAAAGGAAGCTGAGGTGAAAAGAAAGTGCTTGGGAACATTTCACTTTTACCTGGCAAACCACCATAGAGGAATAGAATATCAGACGAGAGTTAGAAGTGGCATAAGGTAGAGTTACCTATTGTCTCTCGCTAGAGATTGATCACTTTAAAATTCAAGTGGTTAATTGAATTGCATATGTTCGTCGCCTACGATTCGCGCTTTCGTTGAAAAAAAAAAAAAGACAATAAACCCGCTGTCAAAAATTCGCTATTGTTGATAACAATTTGACCGCGTTTCACAACCACCAACTAAGAAGACAATAGAGAATTGATTTATCAAAGATGGCGACCAAACTTCTGAAGATGTATTTATCACTTTCTCCCTTTCCATCTTTTGATTCTTCAAACCTTTCCGCATACAATTCTACAGAAGCGTTCAAATACAACCCAAGATCACTCCTCATGAAGAACCCAAAACAAAATAAGTTGTACGCGGCTTATTTCGCCCAATCCAAGAATCAACGACGACGATCCTCGCGTATCAGATACACGTCTTCTCCTGCAAGAACAGCTTCTTCGTCGCCCTCATCTTCTTCTTCTCCGTCTTCTACTCCTCGTTTAAAGATGTCTGTTTCTCCTCCTCCGACAAAATCAATTACTTCGACCCCTCGTTTAAAGAGGTCTGTCTCTCCTTCAGCAAAGTCATCTACTTCGACTCGTCGTTTAAAGACGTCGGGTTCTCCTCCAGCAAAGTCATCCACTTCAAATCCTCGTTCAAAGACGTCTGTTTCTCCTCCTCCAGCAAAGACATCTGCTTCTACTCCACCAGCAAAGTCACCCGACTCTCCTTCGTCAGCAAAGTCACCTACTTCTTCTCCGCCAGCAATTGAATCTGTTGACACACCACCTTCATCTGTTTCTCCCATTTCTCCCGCTTCTTCGAAATTACCTCTATCTTCGCCTCCTTCATCTGCAGTCTCTTCTCCCCCGAATCCAACCGTCTCTTCGCCTCCTTCATCGGTTCCCTCTCTTCCCTCGAAACCATCTGTGCCATCTTCTACTGAATCACCGCCTGAAGGCAGTTCTTCAAACAAACTCCTTTCCGATGACAAGAAGGAAGAAACCACCATCAAAGGCAGTTCTCCAGAAGAAGCACCACCATCTGAAACGAAAAGCAAAAAGATCAAAATCAAATTCGTTGATCCATCGAAACTTCGCTCTGGTGTTAACGACGAGAAGGCCACTACTAAATGCGGTTCTCTAAAGCGACCACGACCGGATGACGAGGATGAAGAAACCACTCTTAAGTGCGAACCTTTAAAGAAACGAAGGACTACTGCCAACGTCGCGAAAACCTCTACCAAGAAAGCCACCAATTCCAAGCCGGTCGCAGAGCTCTCGAAAGAGCAATTGGAGAAGAAACGCGGTGATTCGCTCAAAAAGCGAAGACACTTGGTAAGTCCATCAATCTTCACTTCTTTGCTTGCACAGATTCTCATATATTCTTAGGCCTCAGAAGTACGAAAAGACTCAAAGCGCATGCCATCAGCCGCCCAGAGGGGATTGGCCAATGTTACTGGAGCATCTTGCTACAGAAACAGTTTGTTGCAAGGTCTTTTCCACCTTCCCAAGTTCTTCAATTTTTTGATCGACCAACATCCGGTGGAAACTTGTAAGTACCATTAATTCGTTTTTCGTTATTCTTAGCTCACAACTCTCTTAGGCAGCATACCCAAAAGAGACTGCTTGGCCTGCTCTCTCAGCCTCTTGTCTTCGAAGTATTGGACTGTCGATGTTCCTGCCAAGGAGATCACAACCATGATGAGAAGCCTCGAGGCCCAGTGCAAGCGTCTTGGGTGGTATCCTGGACCCACTGGGCAAGGAGATCCTCATGAGCAAATCACCTGGATGTTGGAAAAGATCGACGAACAGATCAAGGCGTCGTAAGTTTGAACTTCTTTTCTGTGGCTTATATGTAACAAATCACTGACTTTTACTTCAGGAGCGTTGCCAGTATGATGTCGATAATGCAGCTTGTTCTAAGCAGCAGAATCACATGCGATAACTGCCACAACATCTCAGTGGGAGACTTACAGGATGAACTAGCCTTGTCCGTACCTCTCAAGCCGCGTCTCCGAGATGGTACTCTTTCTTCGTACTTGCATAAGTACTTGGATGAGACGATCGAAGGTTACCGGTGCGAGAAATGTAAGGTACAAGGTAATGTTCGTCGTGTACAGTCGATCAGTCACGCACCAGATATCTTGTTCGTCCAGCTAAAACGGTTTGGTTACGATGGAAGAAAGGACAAGCTTGCGCTTCCGATTGACCATACCCTCAACCTCAGTCCTTACCGCGACCCTAGTGGAAGCACGGACCCCATGGAGTACGAGCTCGTGGCATCTGTTTCGCATTCTGGCAACCTCGACTACGGGCATTACGTTTGTGATGCTCGGGGACCCGATGGACGCTGGAATTGCTTTAACGATGCGCATCACGGTGCTACGACTCTGGCAAAGGCTCTGGGGAGTAACCAACCGTATTTGCTGTTCTACCAACGCAAACAGACTTGATTGTCGATCTGAGGTCGTATACTATCCGCTTGTGAGCGTGTTAGATCTCTCTAAGTTTGTCGTCTGGCTAGAAAAAAACATCGGTTCTTGGTTGTGTGCGAGTGGTATTTTGTTACCCTGGGTGTCCCTGCCTCAAACCTTCCTCGAACTGGTGAGCAAGAGTCGGTGGTGGATTCTTACTTCTTCCAAATGTTCATAATGGAGATTAACTCCCGCTTATGGTTTGGATGCCTGTTGCGCTGGAATTCATGTATAGATTATTGTTGGATTTTTTTTTTTGTTTCCGTGGAGTTTGGGTTTGGGCTGAGAGAACTCCGGTGTGCTTTCTCTGCGGCTTTGGGGTGGCGTCTGCATTACACGATACCAATTCTGTTTCTGTCTACTTCACGATACAATACGATGGAACTTCTCGGGCTCTTATCTTCGACTTCTTTAATGACTGATGACTTGTGAATTCTACTTGACTATCACCTTGCTTCTTACTCAAATTTCAACCATATCCAGATACCGAGACCATAATCAAAACAACCCAAAATCGCCAGCCTTCTTTCTCTCTCTAGGTAACGAACTCAGGCTCTTCTGCTCCATGGAAAAATGATGTTTCACGTAATCGATATCTCGCTCGTTTACTTCCAGTCCACTCATGCCTTTCTCGATCTTTCCAGATTCGTTCCTTGATGATGTTGGGATACCCCCGACTTTTGGGATGGCTCCAGAGATATGGATTTGTATGTCTACGTCTACGTCTTCGTCGTTATCGTGATCGATCATTTGGATAGCTCCTTCGTCTTCGGAGGTTGAATGGTGGGAGGGAGTGGGCGAGGAGGGCGAGGAGGGGGTGCCGATGCTGGAGATGGCGAGCGGGGTTGTAGTTGTGATTATATTGGGAAGTTTGGTATCGTTTGGAGATAGAGTGAGGTGAGTGTTTGTCGTACTTGTAACATTTTCGGCAGGAGTTGGTGGTGGCGAGCCCATCAAATGATCCATACTATACGACGTAACTGAAGAGACAGCAGAACACCTAACATTCGATTGACCAAACATCATTGGAACAGGTGCTTCTAACTCCGCCACCTCCCCGAAATCAATCAATAGCTCTTCTTCTTTCTCGTCGATCATTTTCTCTCTTCCTTTTACCTCCCCATCCACCATCACAATGCCCCCTTCCTCTCTATTATTTTCCTCTTTCTCAATCTCAATCTCCCATTTTTCTCCTTCGTTATCATTCATGGATGGAAATACATACGTACTCAATATTCTATCAACGAGCCCTTCATATTTTAAATGGGAGCTGATTTTGGAACTGAGATCGATGTTGATGACGCCTTCGATGTGGTGGATGGGTTGGAGACCGGAAATGCCGTATTGGAGGGAATTGAAGCGGTAGAGGAAGGCGAGGAGAAGATCGTTGGGGTTGTAGATGTTGAGGATTGGACCGGAGATTACAGTGCGGAGGGGAAGGACTGGTGGGGTGTTAGATGGGGTGGGAGGGGAAGGTAAAGGAAAGGGAGGGACTTACGGGAAAGAGTCGATGACGGGATTGGTGAACCGATTAGGACTACGCTGTCGACGAGGCCGAAGGCGTGACGTTCGGCTAGAGAGCGGAGACAGGAGTATATCACCTGTGAGGGATCAGTAAACCACAGTTGAACATGCAATCCCAAATTTCTCGAACTTTCGACCAAACTTTGACTTTATTTTCTCTTCAGAACCAATGAAACTGAGAAATGAATAACACATACCCTACTTCCCAATGAAAATCCCACCAGCATGACCGGTCGTTCCCCCTGCGCCCTATTGATTAACGCATCCGCCAGTACTTCCCCCGCCTTCTCGGCCCTTCTCTTAGCTCTAGCAAACGGATTATCAATTCCCGTCGCCATCTTCAGCAGATATACCGGCCACAATGCTCCCCACAAAGTAGCCAAAACCGTCCTCTTCAAAATTTCCATCTTAATAATCGACCACGCATAACTCCCCACCGTATCCTTCAAACTACTCCCCAGTTCCACCAACGCATTAGTTTCATACCTCAACGCAAAAATCTCACATCCATGCCCCAAATCCTCATCCTTAACATCTCCCCTCGAATACTGGCCCGCGAGTTTCCGCCACGGCTTCACAATATCCCTCGGATCATCCACCCACCCATTAACCCCAATCAGAACCCTCAACCTCCTCTTCTCCACATCTCCCTCCTCTTTCGTACTATGTTCTCCCCACTCCTCATTGACATCCAAAAATTTAAAATCCTCCACCTCCCGCGCATATTTATCCATCATTTCCCCCGTCATGCGCGCCCCATAGGCCCCGAAAAACGCACCCACCAACGCACCATTCATACAAAAGACGCCCAGCAAAGACGCAAGACCCCCAAGACCAACCGAGCCCATGAGTCCCCCAATAGCACCTGCTACGACGGGAGCAGCCAGTCCACCCGTTACACCGATTAGAGCTGCGCCCGCAACAGATGCGAGACCGACTTTCCAGCGTCGGGACGATGTGTTGGATTGGGCGCGCGCAGAGGTTTCAGCGTCAGCATTGGGGACGGCGCCTTCTTTGGATGCAAGGAGGAGGAGGCGCGAGGTTTGGATTTCTTCGTGCGTGAGGAGGTGTGGGGGGAGGGAAAGAGAGGAGGTTAGGTGGCAGAGCAGGGTGCGGGAGTGCGCTGAATAGGTTCCGAGGGAGAGGATCAGGATCAGTAGGCTGGAGATGATGTGCGTGCGGTCTTGGAGGCTAATGGTGATTAAACGGGTGGGGATTGGCGGGTACAGGGATTGAAACGTGAGGATATCTTGGCTGGGTTCGTTATTTTCATTGTTTTCATGGGGACTTGGGGAAGGGGTATAGGTATAGGGAGGGGGAGGTCTCGAAGCGAGCAGTTCTTTGCGCTTTTGATTAGCGCGGGGATCTTCGGGAGAGTTGAGAATGTGTCCGAGTTGTGCGATGATGGAGTCGCGCCACGTGTCGAAGTATTTTAGAGCGGCGGCTTCTAGAGCGAGCAATTTGGGTGTGGAGAGGTTTTGGTTGAGACGGTTTTCGAGATGGTTTTGACGGGCGATTGAGGGGTCGTTGTTTGAGTCTGAGGGGTTGGGGGTAACGTTGGGGGTTATTGAGGGGGGTGAGGAATTCGAATTAGACTCCGATGACTTATTATTATTATTATTATAAGGCTGATTTTCCCGGTTGGAAAAGGAGTGCGTGATGGTTTTGCGCATGAGTTCTGTGATGGAACCGATTAGAATATTGAGAGCTCGTCGGCGTGCGGGATTGAGGATGAGCTTGAGATCTTGGGGGTCCGCGCTCGTTGGTGCCATGTTTTTGAGGATGGGTTTGGAGACCTATGTATGTATGTATGTATGTATGTATGATATTAGGTGCTACTCGAGTATATCATATCATATCATTGGAACCGGTAGTATTGGTTCAGATCACGGAATTGGAGTTGGGTATTGGTTTGCAGTCCAGTGATATGATATATGAGGTGAAAATGTGGAGGGGCGGGGGAATCCTGGTGCCTAATATGTATGTATGTATGTATGTATGTATGTATTACTTGCTCTGGGGTGCAAATCCCACACGGCCCTATTCTGGGCCTTTGAGGTCCATTGTTTGTGCCTCTTCTATACAGATTCGAAACGAAAGCCAAGACTTGGATTTTGTGAGGAATTCCATCGTCTAATTGTGAAGGAGTTGGATGGTGAAACTCGGAATATCGTTTGTTCTGTGCCGTGCCGTGAGGTGAGGTTATGTCAAGGTAGTATTGTGAAATACTCGAGTAATACAGGGGTAATAGTGGGCCCATCTTGCTTGGCCATCCATATCGGCACCTATTTTGATGGTCCCGTGTATGTGAAATATTCGATTCAGAAGATAGAGTTAGTTGGTACAGACATGAATACCAAAAGGACGAAAAAGACCGAGTATGTTGATTGTTAACTAGGGTATATTCAACGCAAGGACGCCATATCTACCAAATACAGCTACCTCATCATACCTCAACCGTCACCTCACCTACATCGTAATTACAACCCATTAAAGCCATTGACATCATTAGCATTTTGTGCCGATGACTCCATTCTAGCCACCAATCTCTTGACATTCGTCCACTCCTCAGTCCTAGCACTATCCTTACCCCCAAGGTCTGGACCAACTTCAAAGACGGAAAGCATGCCATCAATACCGCCAGTTGCGATACGTTTGCCTTCAGTTTGCTCCCATGCTACACGGTTCAAGCTCTTGGACATGATACTCCGGCCACCTTTTCGGCCACTAGGCTGGACTTTGGACACGGGAACCTCGGTGTCTACAGTGATGTCCCATACTTCCAGATTACCAGCTCCATCCACGAGAGAAAATACACCGGGCTTGACAGGCGACCAGGCTGCATCATACACAAGATCCTCTCGAGTAAAGTCGAATAACGGAGCCACTGTCTGACCTTCACCTGTGATAGATGTGGTTGATGCTGCAGTTGGGGCTCGGACTTTCCACAATTTAACGGTCCAGTCCAAGGAACTGGTCAAAACGAGGTCACCAAGATCAACGGGACCCTTTGCTGGATGAAAATCTAAAGACATGACGGGCGCTGTATGACCACGGTAACTCACCCTTTGATCAACACCTGCCTTGGCACCCGCTCGATCATATCGATGGCAAGAATATACGGTTCCTTCTTCTGAACCAACGAGAAAGTATGTAGGGTCTGTTTGTGGGAAAGCCATACATGTTGGACTCATATCTTCCGTTTTTGCGGGGGGTGGAGTCGTTAATGTAAGTAATTCCTGTGGTTGCGCAAGCATATCCACAGTCCATCCGCACATAACACCGTCCGTTGAGCACGATATAATATTATTCGCATTCTGCGTTCCTACAATATCGACAGAGTAGACCGGATGGGTATGCCCTGATCCGGTCAAAGGAGTTTTTTGGACTGGTGCCGATTTTGCTCTTGTGTCCCACAGTAAAACTTGACCACTGTAAGCACCTCCAATGATCAAATTGGGGTGGAAAGGAGAGAATTTTGCGGCGAGAACATCCGATTGTGCATGAAAGACGAATTCCGGCCTATCGTGGAGATGCATATTCCAGACTTGGACCAGTCCATCTGGATCGTGTGGTGCCGAAGGATTCTTTGTATATGCTGCAAGAACGAGCTCGGGAAATTTAGGTGAGAAATCAATGGCGCTAATCATCCTCTTCTTCGACCATCGTTCATCATAAAATTGTGCAACCTCCTTTATCTTCCTTCTACCCTTTCCACCTGTGTTACCGTATTCATCGTCGTCCCCAACTCCGTTTGCGCCACTTAATCCATAATCTGCAAGTACATCGTATTCCTGATCTAATGCTCTCTCGATGACCTTACTTGATCTTTCAACGAAGTCCATAAACCCCTCAGACGACGTCACGGCATTGAGCTCCTCATTTGTCAAAATTCTCGCCGGGAAGTTTGCTGTTGATAAATGCTGGGAATCCGGTCTTATAGGTCCATCTACGAGATCTCGGGTTGCCTTTAGCTCCTCTTCAATTTCTCGGCGAATGTTCTCTCTTAGCTCTTCCTCTCTATTCTTTTCCCTTCTGCTTAGTCGTTTGCTTGGTGACTGAACTCCAGAGGGTTTGTCAAACTCATCGTCCGAATCGTCGAAAGCTCGAGGCCTGTAGGTTTGTGTACCCCATTCTTCTGTTGTTTGTACCCCTTTACTATATGAGAATACCTCCTTGACAGGAGATGGTGTAAATTCATAGACCGTGGATAATGGGATCGTAGAAAGGGCCTGGAGGGTCGATATTGATAATGGCTGAGTCTGGAAGACTTGGGCATTCGATGGGCTCGATTCGGAAGGCTCATTACTTAGTTCACCGGCACTTAATACACTGTTTGGTCGGCTACCTTTCGCTGGTGATCCTGCTCCACCAGGGCCAGTTGACCCAGGTCTACTGTCTCCAACTAAACTGGAAATTAGACTGTCAAGTTCCCTTCGATTATCGGCTCGTCCTGGTGTAGGGGATGCAAGCTAACGCCTGTAAGTATGATTCGGGTATGAGAATGGATTTAGTTACATCACTCCCACTTCCTACACTCTGCCTGCTTGCCGAAACTTCTCTCGCTCGAAGTTCTCTCTGCCTCTTTAATTCTGCAAGCTTGGCTTTCTTCGCCAGGATTTCATCTCGTCGCTGTTGCATTTTGCAGGAGTTCTAAGCCCATTTCGCGGGCAAACGCCTTTATTTTACCGCAATATGGTTATTGAGATAGCTTAAAGTTCGCAGATGGTATTAGAATATTTCAGAAATGTATGAAACCAAATATGAAGTTGTATCTCAAATCATGCATACAAGCAAACACACATGATAAAAGTCGCGATTGATGAAGATGCGCATTATTGGAAAATGTACATCACGTGGGGGTTTTGGTCCCGCAAAATGCCGCTGAAGCCTGCTCGCGATATTTCATCCGACCACCTTGAAAAAGTTAATCGCCGACAACATTTACTTTATCTGCTCTCCGTTGTGATACCAAGTTCAATTGGTATCTCTTAAGCCACTACTCTCCTCACTATCTCATCCCGGCATATACTCACAACTGTTCCCGATGGCTTCAACTGGGGTAAACGTACGTTTTACGATTTCGCGCAATCCTTAACCCGGAGACTTCATTTCAAGTTGAAATTTAATCTTCTTAGGTCCACTAGTCAAGGAGTGTGCTAACATGTCTTTCCTACAGGTTCTGCGGTGGTCAGCGCTTGGCGCCGGTGTATTTTACGGGTTTTACCACCAAATGAGCATATCATCTGCAACGAAGGCAGCAGCAGCAAGCAGGGAATTCGAGCACAAGCAGAAGTTGATTGAGCAAGCCAGGGCAGAGTACGCAAAGAAGAACCTGCCTGCGAGCCAGAAAACAGGAGGCGGTACGTCGAGCTCCTTTATGCTACAATCCCTATTAAAATTTACATCGACCAATATCTATTCTCTTTGGGATTTTGAATCACTTCTCAACATTTCGCACGGAAGCTATCACCATGACTAACATTCGACACAGTTATACGGGATCCTATGGACAAGAACTTCGATCTCGAGGCATACTTGAAGGTTCTAGCAGCGGAGAACTAGGGGCATTTCGGAGAATGGGGGTTTTAATTATGGGTAATGATAGAGGGGCATCGCTGAATGAGACCATCGGTGGTAGTTGATATGGGCTCCGGCGATGTTTTTGGAGAGGGTTTCTAGGGTTTGTTCACACACACAAAAAGCCTTTAGACGTCACTCAGGTGATACTTCTTGTACATTGTACTATAGACGACCAATACAGCTGGGAGCTTCTGTTATTTGGAGACCCAATTTTCACCTACGAGAGAACTACAGAAGAAGTAAGCAACACTCCGGATCTGTCAAACATGAAGCACAATCAAATGCATCTCTCATGCTGCTCTACGTTCACAGAGATTGAACTACTCAATAGGGGGATATTCTTCTCCCCAATTAGCCAAGCAAGCCAAAGATATATATAAATCAAATCACCACTTTTCAACCTAATGACATCCAAAACAGTAGTACCATATATTCTCTGAAATACCTAGACACAAAAGCATACTTGGTACACCTTGCACAAATAGAGAATAAGTCATTAATGCTTCACGTGATCTATATATTAGTGCGGCGGGTTCACCAAACTAATCCCTGCGAACTGACGCGGAGCTCTGAAAGTGCGGCATTGCGAACAGATATGTGTTAATCTAGAGAACCCTTTCAACCAGCGACAACTTTCCTTCACACCACAGCTGCCATCAATATGGTTGCCAAAACTCAGGAACCGTTCTTCCAAGGGAGTACGGGGAAGAACTCCCGTGGAGTTCTAAGAATCGTAATTCTTTGCTTAATTGCTGCTACTGCAATTGCCAGTCGACTATTTTCAGTGATTCGTACGTATCTCGAGCCTCCCATAATGATCTGGATGTCTTGCACTCTTCATGAAAATTGACAGGCACAATGCTTCCGTCATACTTTTCGTGCGAGAGTCTAAGTGGTTGAATCAAAGCTAACATCATTATTTATAGGGTTTGAGAGTATAATACATGAATGTTAGTATTGAACGGACCCCTCAATGGATGGAGCTTCCTTTCCTCCAGCTCTGCCCTCTATGATTGCGCGGAAACTAACTTTTATATAGTCGATCCTTGGTTTAATTTCAGAGCTACCAAATACTTAGTCTCGAATGGCTTCTACGATTTCTGGGATTGGTTCGACGACCGAACATGGCATCCACTTGGACGAGTTACCGGAGGAACTTTATACCCAGGCCTTATGGTCACCAGTGGTGTCATCTACCACGCCCTTCGAGCTCTTACTATACCAGTCGATATTCGAAATATTTGTGTGCTTCTTGCACCAGGTTTCTCCGGCTTGACTGCCTTCGCAACATACCTCTTTACCAATGAGATGTCCACATCTCCTTCGGCCGGTCTTCTCGCGGCTATTTTCATGGGAATTGCTCCAGGTTACATTTCGCGATCAGTTGCAGGCAGCTACGATAACGAAGCCATCGCAATCTTCCTACTTGTATTCACGTTCTACCTTTGGATCAAAGCCGTCAAGCTCGGATCCGCATTCTGGGGTGCTCTTTGTGCTCTATTCTATGGATACATGGTATCAGCCTGGGGTGGATATGTCTTCATTACCAATCTAATCCCTCTTCATGTATTCGTATTGGTATGCATGGGAAGATTCAGCCCAAGACTGTATGTCAGTTACTGCACCTGGTACGCACTAGGCACGTTGGCAAGCATGCAAATTCCATTTGTAGGATTCTTGCCAATTCGCAGTAGTGAGCATATGTCCGCTCTCGGTAAGTCAATTCATCTCCTTTGGAGATGCATATGTACTAATCCGCTTAGGTGTTTTTGGCCTTCTTCAATTGGTTGGATTTGTCGAGTTCGTTCGCTCGGGTGTACCAAGCAAGCAGTTCGCAACTCTCCTTAAAGGCTTTGTCCTTGCTGTGTTCGCTATATCATTTGGTGGCTTGGTGCTTTTGACTGTCTCCGGAGTCATTGCACCTTGGACTGGTCGTTTCTACTCTTTGTGGGACACTGGGTATGCCAAGATCCACATTCCTATCATTGCCTCCGTCTCTGAGCATCAGCCAACGGCATGGCCAGCTTATTTCTTCGACCTCAACCTTCTCATCTGGCTCTTCCCAGCTGGTGTGTACCTCTGCTTCTTGAAGCTTGCTGATGAGCAAGTTTTCGTTGTTGTGTACGCAATTCTTGCCAGTTACTTTTCTGGCGTCATGGTCCGATTGATGCTTACCTTGACTCCAATCGTATGTGTAGCTGCGGCTTTGGTATTGTCCAACATCTTGGACACCTACTTGACCTTCAAGTCACCAGAAGAATCGTCTCCAGATACTACAACAGATGGCGCTACCAGTGGCGCCCCCTCGAAGAAGGCTGCGAAACAAGAGGAACTACGCTCTATGCGTCAACCTCTTGTTGGTATCTATGCCAGCTTCTCTAAGATTTCCGTTGTTACCGCTATGACAACATACCTCTTAATATTCGTTCTTCATTGTACTTGGGTTACATCAAACGCTTACTCATCTCCATCTGTCGTGCTCGCCAGTAGAATGCCAGACGGCAGTCAGCATATTATTGATGACTACAGAGAGGCATACCAATGGCTACGACAGAACACCAAGGAAGATGCGAAGATTATGTCCTGGTGGGATTACGGCTACCAAATTGGCGGTATGGCTGACAGACCTACACTCGTTGATAACAATACCTGGAATAACACTCATATCGCAACTGTTGGAAAGGCAATGAGCTCTCGTGAGGAAGTTAGCTACCCTATCATGCGCCAACACGAAGTTGACTACATTCTCGTTGTTTTCGGTGGTCTTCTCGGATACTCTGGAGATGATATCAACAAGTTCTTGTGGATGGTCAGAATTGCCGAGGGAATTTGGCCAGATGAGATCAAGGAGCGTGACTTCTTTACTGAGCGTGGAGAGTACAGAGTTGACGATGGTGCCACTCAAACCATGAAGGACAGCTTGATGTGAGTAATGCCCAACAATGATAGATTTGAAAATTTGCTAATCTAATAGGTACAAAATGTCATACTACAACTACAACTCCCTTTTTCCACCTGGACAGGCCCAAGATAGAGTGCGTGGCGTAAAGATGCCAGAAATCGGACCAGTTCTAAACACTGTTGATGAAGCATTCACTAGTGAAAACTGGATCATTCGAATTTACAAGGTGAAAGACCTTGACAATGTTGGCCGAGACCATGCATCAGCCGCATCATTCGATAGAGGAAACAAGAAGAAGAAGACAACGAAGAAGAGAGGACCAAAGGTTTTGAGGGTTGAATAAAGGGATGGACCTTGCTTTGTATCATATTTCCTTATCTTGGGCTTGGGTGCTTTGCAAAATAGAGCGAGTCCGATGTTGTGTATAGAAAAGAAATTTACTCGTAAATATGGTCTTGTGTGAGTTTTGACTGACCACCAGGCATTGTCTGGTCAGGTATGAGATCCATTTGATATTCAAACTCTTTATATATACTATGATACAGCAGCATGTTACCAAAGGTCCCAGATAATATCTAATGGTTTCTTTCCACGGTATCTCTTATTACTAGTACTCATTCACTTCATCATGATATAGTCGTTGCTAATCTCAATATCATAGCCAAAACAGTCCGTCTGCTCCTTCCCACAATACAGCTTGAACAACTGTTTCTTTCACTTTCCCAACCCACGTTGTTCATCCTTTGGATAGGAGAGCTCCTTCACCTCACCTTCAAAGGTCAAGATGAAACAGCTTAAGAACCAATGAGAATCTTGGATAATGTTACCTGGCAGATATTTTTGATTCTGGGTCGATAAGATTGAATTAGTCCTTTTATTCATCTTTGTTTATATGTATTGCTATGTTGAGGAAGACTTCTGGTTGATCGCTGTGACGATAACCAATTCGGCAAAATTGGACTCAAATTGAAATTCTACCATAACATAGATTCATTTTTTCTTTTCTGTCACCGGCTTCGCACACCTCTACAACTAATTTTTCAAGACAGAATCACATTTCAAATTCCCTTTTTACTTCTTTCATAGACCCAGCTTTGTATTAAGATTTTAATTTAATTGCTTGTGGTATCCAAGAATCTTCGGGTATTGTGCTGCCATTTTACTTCACTTCTTTCGTTTACTTTTCAACTGTTTTCAAATATTTCCCATCGTTTATCTGAAAGTTTCTATTGTATCGGCTCAGTAACCTACTGTATTGGCTCAGTAAAAAGTCGACAACACAACGACAATAGAACGACAATAGCCAACAATCCGACCAAGGACCCTCGCCTGGTGAACAACAGCAACCCCCTGGTTCAGTCGCCAATATGCTCACTATGTAAGTTTTCTTCCCCCATTCATTCCGATTGAGGTCGCTTCCTAGTATATTTGGTTCTGATCAACATCATCAGGTTTCGAGCACGCCCCAGCGGTGAAGTCGGCTCTGATACCACGGAAGAAATTGTAAGAGAGGGATACCCCTACTACTATAAGAAGAGCAATGGCCGTATGGTCATGGCTAGAAAGATTCCAGGAAGAAGAGCGGGTAAAAAGTTTAGCTTACTAGGTCAAGCTTTCGGAATTGATGAACCTAAGAGAAGATCCTCCATCGATACCTCGAGGAAGAAGAAGACGGTGCGACACCCTCCTCAACCTCAGCCGTCGTATACAGCACCACTGCCTCAGCAGCATTTCTCGAATTTTGCTCCACCGCCAATTCCCTTCCCACCAGTCATCCCTCAGCAACCCTTTCCCGGCCCCAATCTTTTTGTTCCAGCAAATTCTGGAGTTCCTCCTTTCTACCCCATTCCTGGTTTTGCTCCACCACCGGCGCAGCAACCCCTGTTATGGGCTGTCAAAACACAGACACCAAAGCCGCCAGGTATTGAAGAACTTCTCAAAGTCGAATCAGATTTCCTCAAGAGAGCGAAGTCGAAGTCAAGAAAAGATAGAGATCATGATCATACTGAGATCAAGACTACGACTACGACAACAATTACCAAGCACATATGTGCTAGTTGCAAAAGGGATCGTTCAGTAAGATATCATCTCGATCATCCAATCCGAGCTGGCGATACTCCTGTGCCTGAGTTTTGTCGCAAGTGCCGAAGAAATGCTGCCTCTACTAGCGGTTCAAGTAGCAATGATAGTGATGACGGTGGCTCAAGAAGACGTGGGGATGGAGCAAGAGGAAGAAGAAGAGAGAGAGTTTCAAGGGTGAGTTCTATTCCTCAAAGGTGAAAATCACTTATTAACAGACTTATTCTAGAAGAATGATAGACGCAAACCTACATCTCGACTTCACTCTGTTGAAGTACTGAGCCGGGATGAGAGAAGAAATAATGATCGCTCCAACGATCATCGGGGTGAAATCATCGTTGAGGATGAGGTTGTACAAGAACAGACGACAGCACCCAAGGGCCAATCTCGACGAAGTGACAACAATTCGAGAGGATCAACGTCCAGAAGCTATACTCGTACTCGCGAAGGAGATCTCGCTGACGGTGATTCTGCTCCTAAACAAGAGTCAAACGTGAAAATCAACATCACGAATCGATCGTCATCAGCCAGTCCACCATCAATTGACTACGAGACGCGGGAAAAATCTGTTCACTTCTCTCAACCAGCGAGGGGATCAAATACTTCCCGCAAAGCTTCTCAACAAAGCATCCGTGAATCATACAGATATGTCGATCCGCTTCCTTCTGCCAGCTATGCATCTCTGCCAAGATCCGCTCGTTTCTCAAGAGAGTCTCTTCCAAGTATGCGTACGAGGGGCCATGCTCAGCGCAGACGCTCGGAGCGTGCAAACCCTGAACGAACTTACGATCATGTTACTCGTGAGCAAGAATATGAACCTCTTCATCGTCGTCGCTCTGATGAAGATGTTATCGTAGTTGAAACCGAGCATGAGCCACCCAGATCGTGGGCTGAGTCTACGCCTCATCCTCCTCCTCGCCATCGCTCTTCTGATGAGGACTTTATCGTTGTTGGAAACATGCAGGGATTCCCAAGATCACGGGCTGAGTCTAGACTTCATAGCCCTGCCCGAACTCCTGTGAGAACCAGAGACACTTATACCAGTTCTACAGTTGATCAATATGGTATCGAGACAGAGTATAAATGGACTACAAGCAAGAGAAGTACAAGTTCAAGTACTCTACAAGGTTTCACCCCAAGCATTCGTCAATCTTCAGCAAGTGTTCGTCGTTCTTCGGATTCAAGCGATGAGTATAATAGAGCTTGTAAGTATTCCAGTATTCTTTCTACAACGATATACTTTGACATAAATCTGATTTCTTGCTAGATGCCATGGCTCATCAGAATCTGCCAGACCCAGGACCACGTCGCCGTCAACGCTCGATGAGAAATTCTGGAGGCTTCATGGATGGTGCTGACACGCCCCCTCAAGTACCAGATCCTCCGACCCCAAACGGTGGTGTTTGGGAGCCTAGAAATGCGCCACGCAGACCAGTGAGAGGTACTTCATCAAGAGAAACAGGTCGTTCAACTTTTCAAAGTAAGGTACCTCGAGTTCCTCAACATCAGAGCACCCCTCGAGGATACACTAAACCATGGATGAACGCATCTTCAATTGATCAGCACGGCCGACGTCGACCAAAGACTCATCAATTCCGAGCTCGTTCTCGGTCTTCTGATTCTCAAGCATCCTCTGGATCGATGGTTACTCAGTCGGATTCCCTTATAACACCACCACAATCAGATTCACAATTAGACTCTTCACATTCCACGCCGCTATCCATGGTTCGTCGTACTGCCTCTGTCCACGACACTACCGAGAGTGGCAATGAAGTTGAATCTACAGTCACATCGGTCACATCATCCAGTCCAAAGACAACCATTGGAAATAAGCTTGCTGATTCATCACGTCGTCGTCACGCTCGTTCCGAAGCCACAAATACTCAGGCTAAGGATAAAGGTCCAACCATCGGTCTCGCCTCCCAAAAGTACAACGATCAACTTGGAAGTTATGCATCCTACATCGAATACGGCGAGAAAGCAATCACTTCCAAAGGAGCAAACCTCTCTAAAGATGGTGCCATTACAGATGATGATGACGATGATGACACCGTCATCCTCGATGACGCTACCGATCTCACTCTTCGAACTGCTCGTTCTAAGGCTGCTATAAATGAACGTATCAATGCTCGCCGAGTTTCCTTTGCTGAAGATCTTGAGTTTGAACCTACACCTGAGCAATATAGGGGGAATTCCTGGCGTACAAACAACAATACTAATGGCGAGCAATCCTGGGGTGGCAACACCAATGCAGATAATTCATGGGGAACCAATACCAACGCCAATGACTTCTGGACCACCAACTCTGTGACCGAAAGCGACCTTCCAGAAGTCGGTGGCTACAGTGGTCCTCCTAGTGCCAACGCCAGCAACTGGGATCTCAACGATGGTACCAATACCAATGGTTTTGACTACAAAAATGGCTTTGCATCTACACCCACACCCAAGAACAAGTTCAAGAATGCTACTGCTACCAGTACTGGCAGTGATGGCAACAAAGATGATGGTGATAGCGATCGTGGTAACAATAACAAGCAACAAGTTGATGATGAATGGGGTCCTATTCCTACATTTTCTTCGCTTAATATCTAAGTTTTGTTCCATCACCTTCTCTTTATATGTTTTCCCATATTCAACTTTAACTTTCTGTTCAATACAATAGAACACAATACAATATGTTATAGGAAAACGGTCAACGGTCTTCGGCAATCGGTCAACGGCGCTCTCGGCAATTACTACTACTACTACAACTTATTATGCATACAACTTGTTTGCATGAGATATACCAACAAAAGATGTTTGGATGTGTAACAGTTCTTCACACAATCAATCGATTAGTCAATCAATCAATCACCTTTGGTTTTTGTCTTTGTTAATTTTTCTTTTCTTCTCTTCTTTTTCTTTCTCTT